TGGCAGCAATCACCCGCAGAGGGAATTGTTCGATCGTTTCTTGTTGAAAACGACCCTGTCCCGTGAATTTCAAGGGGCATGGTATGAGCAAACGAGGGCCCATGATCGCCCAGCCCTGGAGCTAAGACATCAAAAGGTCAGGGACTACGCAGGCAAGGCCTCGAGCTTTTTGAAAGACCTGTTAGTCCTCTGTCACATGACGAGTGGCGGCCCGGCTCGAGGCAGTAAAATTACGCAGATTCTGTTTCAGAATACCGCAGGCACCCAAAGGAATCTTTTCCTTCACCCAGAGACCAAACTATTCGTGATCAGGCTAGCATATTCAAAAACTTTCAGCCGGACCGGAATCGAAAAGGACGCGTTACGAGTGGTCCCTTCAGGAATTTCATGGCTTTTGTTATTCTATTTATTGATCGTTAAGCCATTCATTCGGTCCCTGATTCTAGAGGTGAATGGGGCTGCATTCAAAAGGCCGGAATTCTTATGGCTGAATTTTCGAAGCCCTAGGTCCAGCCCTAGGTTCAACCCGGAAGATGACCCGAAGGCGAACCCTAGAAAAGCCCTAACAATCAGACCTCTGGATGGCCGAGCCCTCTCAGCCTCAATGCGGGCATTCACCAACACCTTGATCGGTCAGCCTATCGGGGTAAGGGCCTGGAGACATCTGGCGCAGGCCCTGATTAGACATAGTCTGGGGGGTGTGACCCGAGAGGATCCGGATGAAGATCTCGATCTAGAAGGTCTAGGGGCCATGCAGATGCACCATTCTCGGCAGACAGGTCTCATGGTCTATGGCAGGCAGAATTCGGCCTTTTCGAAAATCGGCAGTGAACTGCAGGAGGCGCAAATTGAATTCAGCTAGCGCTGGCATGCCTATGTAGGCCTAGGGCCGACCCAATTGGACCTAGTGGCCTGCCTTTCGGCTATAGACGATCCGTTACCTGCGGAATCGATCCCGGCCTCTCTGCCGGACCCCTGAGTCCCTATCCTGCCTCTCGGGTCACCTCTGGTGCAATACCATATGCCGAGATCGGATCAGAACCCTGCGATTTCAACTCGTCCGGTCACGATAGGGCAATTTCATCGATTTCTATCGCTTTACCCTGCGCCGAAAGTGAATGAATTCGGAGATAAATCAGAATTTGCAAGCCCTGATCTGGATCAGAGCCAGATGGTTCGAATGCCGGAAAAACAAAGCAATCAAGCTTTTCAGGACCCGGATTTATTGTTACATATATGGCAGGAATTCATGCAAAATGATCAGGTGACCTTTTTCAGCCCAGAACAAGCCCAAGCCCTACATCTATTCCTATCCAGGGTACCTTACCTGATCATGATCCTCCCTACTGCCGGTGGCAAAACCACACTGTTCCTGTTAGGGGCTAGTCTGGCCACCAGTAGGACCACCATCCTCGTGGCCCCCCTGGTCGCCCTGAAGCAGGATCTGCATCAAAAGGCGTTAAAACTCGGGCTGTCCGTTGGGGTTTACGAAGAGAACCCGGAATCCACCTCTGAACCAAGCCCGAGTCGCATTCTATTGATTTCAATTGAATCGGTAGCTACCCCTGCATTTTTTTCATATGCCAAAGCCCTCATTGCAAAGAATCAATTAGATTATATCATTTTTGATGAATGTCACCTGATCCCTTTGGCGAAAAACTATCGGAAAGTCATGAATCGGATTCGTCAGGTGACCTGCCTACCTGCACCAATGGTGTTTGCCTCGGCAACCCTGCCTAGCCACCTAGAAAGGGACCTTCTTCAAACCCTGGGGTTGATTCATCCGGTCCGAATTCGGGCTAATATCAATAAGCCTTCTTTATTTTATGGAGTCAAACAGGTCCCTACTGGTATTGATCTTGATATGGTAGCGCTAGATCTGATCCGGCACTTTTCGGAAAGATATCCTGATCAAAAAACGATCATTTTCTGCATGTCAAAAAGAATGGTCGAAGAGATTCACGAAAAAAATGATCTGATTACTGCATATTTTCACGCGGACCTTCCTGATTCCGACAAACAGTTGCAATTGCATTCATTCATTGAATCAAAGAAGCAGATTTTAGTGGCTACCAGCGCGATTGGGGCCGGGTATGATTTTCAAGATATTGGGCTGGTCATTCACCTGCAGGGGGCTCATGCATTCACGGATTTTATCCAGGAATCAGGCAGGGCGTCGAGAAGACCTGGGGCGTTAGGGTTCAGCTATACCCTGGCGAGACCCTCTGATTTTAACCCGAGAGATTCGGATTCATTCGAAAAGACCCTTTTTCGGGACTATTTGAATGAAAAGCTCTGCCGAAGGCGGTCGATTTTCCGGGTTTTTAATGATCAGGCCCTGGAATTCTGCTTAGACGATTGGCAGGCCTGTGATCTATACCGAATCAGAAATAGTCAATTTCAGGATGTAATTCAAGGCACTAGTGCCTATTATGGTCGGGTAACCGCCCAATTCCCTCAAATCGTGGACAGTATTTACCAGTGGATGGATGATCGTTGTCTAATCTGTTTCTGGAAGACTACCAGTAAGCCTTTAACCCGAATCCGTTGTCCAAAAGCGGAAACTAATGTTTTTGATTCTTTAGCAATGGCTCGACCGGAACAGATTCGAAATTATCCACGATTTTTTGATTATGGAACCCTGAAGTGTAAATTAACAGATTTACTGATTGAAGACTTTGATCGAAATCGACCTTATTTAAGGTTTGTTCCTGATTCGGGTTGTTTTCACTGTCTTCTGCCCACTAAAATATGCAGTCATGCATTCAAAAATCATGAAGCAAAAGGCCTAATGTCGATTTTCCGGGTATTAATGTTTGATTTCTTCGATCTACTCGATTCTACCGGATCGATCGTAGTCGAAGGTAAAGGAAAGATTAACGGCGCAGCGATAAATCCTCGAAAGAGGAGATTCGGTTTGGTACGATAGTATCAGCAGGGAAATCCCGATACAGAGAAGTGATGGGTGGCGGTAATCGCCCGTCACTTCCCGTCGGGAGAAGTGACGGGCTCTATGAGAGAAGTGACGGTTTCTATGGGCGGATAGGCAGTATCAATACCGTTCGGGAAGTGATGGGAGCGATACCAGAGCGGTTTGGGTGCGGTTCCATACGGCTGATGGCTCGATGGGGCTAGCGGCGGGTAAAGTGCGCGAGCCTCCCGTTATGCGCGGCCGGAGTTTGTAGGGGCAGTGACGGTCACTGTGTTATAGGCAGGTACCAATATCCTTGAGGTAAACGGGGAATTATTCCATTAACAGGACCATTTAGCTCACCCTGCGGAACCGACACAGCCTGGCACCACCGAGAGTTGTGGCCGGTACTACAAGGTAGCATCTGGAGATACGGTATGAGTGCCTTCCTGCCATAGCAACATTTATAGTTATTGACAACTAACGCTGCATAGTGCAATTTCATCGCCCTTCGATTGTGGGTTTGCTCGCACCCTCGTGTTTATTGCAGTATTGACTGAACAAAATAGTGGCATTACCGTTCCCGATTTCCAGGATCTGAATACCCAGGCGAGTAACCCAAGAGCGAGCGCCTCAGCTGCTGCCATTCACTAACCCCTTCTTAATAGATCTGGGATAACTGTACCAACCTCTGGCTCGACTATGATGTCTGCGTGGCTCCTGTATCGGCAACGACTGTGTCCGAGGATGGCACATGCGGGCCATCTTACGGTAACACTATCTGTGAAGGGTCTTCATTCGGAGAGTAAGTGCTGAATGATCCCCAAGAACGCGGGACACGTCGCGGAGATTTCACTATTAACAACGCCAACCCCTCAGCTGCTGCTCCACGAGCGGATACTGCGGAACCGGGATTGAATACTGCAGCTCTGGCAACTGTGTATCCGGCGCATGCGAACCCAACAACGGCGCCACGACCAACGGCACCTGCGGCCCAGACTGGGGTTATACAACGTGCAGTAATCCAAGCTTTGGCTCGTAAGCAAACCTTCTTTCTCTTTTCCCTATTTTACCTTTTCCCAGTCTGTTTCCATTTCCCTGCCCTTCTTACCCGGCGGAAAGTTCGCTGACACTTTCTTCCTCTGTGCGCACCAGTTGCTGCTCGATCTACGGGTACTGCGGCGACGGCGAGGACTTTTGTGGGCCGGGACTATGCTACTCCGGGGAGTGTGACCCAGACATGGGAGGCCCGAGCATTAATGGCGAGTGTGGCCCTAGTTTTGCGGGAAACAAGACTTGTACTGGAACCCAGTTTGGAGACTGCTGCTCGGTGAACGGGTACTGTGGGAGCTCGGACGACTACTGTAGTGCTGGCAACTGTTACTCTGGTGCTTGCAAGTCTTGAATTTAAGAGTGGTTATAGTTACATGTACATTGCCATACTAGAGATTGGATGGGCGAGAAACTGACTGCCTTGTAAGAGTGTTTGTAGAGATATAATAGTGTGGGAGACGATGATTTGGAGAGCAGATAGATGCAAGATCGATAGATTCAGGTACGTAGCGACAATGAAAGGAATCTAGATACACAAGCAGACACGTGGCCGCTCGCCGAATAGAAGACAAATGACTGCTCACAAGTAGAAAATGCAGTTCCAATGATTATCCTCAGATCCACGTCCGTGAGTCATGGCCGAAATTTCTACTAAGCCACGTGATCTCCAGGGGATATCCCCACGTAGCGATCCCTAAATTTCATTACCATTCCTCCTATATCTACTTACCTACCTACCTACCTCCTCACTTACCATCCATATCAAACCAGTTGAGCTACTCATCCGCTCCATCTCGATGGCCTCCTCCGAGCATCACTTGCCCTCATCAACCCCAGCTCGCCCCGACGGATGGCCCCGCATAACCGAATCCAGTCCGGTCCGTGACCTCGGCCGCGGGATCATGGATTATGAGCGCTGTGCAGCACTGCACAATGAGATCCTAACCAGGGCCGTTAAGGGCCGTGGGGTAGAGATGCCCTCCAAGCACCTAACCTGGTGGGAGGCCAGGGCACCTTCTGAGGAAGTTGCCAACAGTCTCCACCCGTCCTTGACCAAGTTCCTGAAACGTGCTTGGGATGAGAACGTGCTGCCCCAGTGGTCTGTACTTTTCCTCTATATTGGAGCGCTGAAGTCTCCGGATACCCTGCGGGATCGTATGGATCTGTATGAGGATGAGGATGAGGATGGAAGGTTTATCAAGCTGTATAAGTCTAGTCACTTTCGAGGTCTCGATAATGAGGGTATCGTGTATGGTTTTCTTTCTCCCTGATGAGGCAATTCCAATGACTTGGAGGCAAGGCGCGTTTACTTACTGATTGACTAGGTTTGACCAAACGACTTTAAAAGCAACCTTTATCGAGGATTATAATGATACCAGTACCATCACCAGCCGCCCATGGGGCTGGATGCCTCTGGAAGTTATATTAGATTCATATCTTGACATGATCGATGACGGAAAAGTACAGACGATTTCCGAAGATCAGGCAAAACTAGTGAAACTCGACAACCCCAGTTGTAGGGTAATGGACCAGTGGATAATTCACTATTACACGAAAACAGAGCTAGAAAGGGCAACCGCTGCGTTCAAACGTCTGGTAAACCTGATTGAATCTCGAATCCTGCATAGAGCCGATTCTATTACTCCCATGCACTTGCCGTGGCATAATCCGGCAACATTCTCAAACCAGGACATTCTCCCCCCTTTTTCGTTTGCCTACCAGTTCCTCAAGGCTATCTCCAGCTGCACAGTCCGGTTCCGGTATATCGCGCCGGGAATCCGATTCCCTACCGTCTCTGAATTCCAGCACCAGCCCATTACGGACTTTATTACATCGCCATATAACCATCACGGACAGCGCCCTGGCGACTGCCCTCTGCGGGTCTTTCAGATCGATAACGTAGAGCAGCAGCCAGTCCCGCGCGATCAGGGCTTCGGCCTCCACAATATCGCTGCCGGATTCTATATCCATCCCGTGGTGGAGCGTTGGCCACACTTCTGGAGCAACGGATGTCGACTTCTGTTACCCTTTGGTATCGGGGGTTTCGGATGGGCTCGGCAGTCAAATGGAGAACCGTTTGGGTTAGACTGGTATTGGACTGACGACCCGAAGCCTCGCGATACTCATGGACACTTGTATCAGAGTGGGACTGTGGATGGGATCACGAACCGCCATTTGGTACAGATAGACAAGGTGCTGAACAACTGGGCTGATCGGGTTGAGAGGGGCGATTGGGAGATAGATAGGGATGGGGTTACCGGGGGGATTGGTAAGCTTCGCGAGGCCGATACGGAGGCGCATTGGCAGAAATATTGGATTCCACCGTCTTGGTAAGGGTTACATGTAGGACCGAACGGATATAGATATAGATATAGAAAAATACATATACTGCGCGTTTGTGCCTAGACTATTCGAGTAGCTGTTAGCTCGGAAGCTTGAGAACAGAGTACGCCTTCCTCTCCTACTTACTGCCCTTGTTATATCAACACAAAGATTTGATCAAGATGCTCGATAGCTGGGTTCCCCGGCAAAAAGGGATTGAAAGAGGCACGAACAGCTCCTAAACGTTTAGGCGGAAAAAAGCCAAGTATCTCCCATGCCCGGATCTTTCGCCTTTGATTTGTGCGGACTGTCCTGAATAAAGTACTAAGTACTTAACAAGAGTATGTATACGATCCTTATCGCCTTTTGTAAAGATCCTGCCGATCTGGAGTTCGATCTCCCCTTCATTATATATCTATACCGAAAAGTGTTGAGCAAATCGGCCAAACAAAGGTTAGTAAAAAACAAGATAACAAATGTGTATATGCCAAATCAATGCAACGAACAGAAATTATTATAGCGTTAACCTAGGTCGCTCCTTCTATAACAAATCAGACGCGCCACTCCTTCTTCAACTGATCCCTCCACGCATCAAACTCTATTACCTCGCCATCAACAAGTATCTTCCCCTTGTAAAACTCTTTCGTCCGCTCCGGAATATACGAAAACTCCTTAACATGTTTCTGATTACACTTCTGAATGCCCATCGTCCCCCCCTCCAACAGCTTGAGACAATCTGCACAGAACCCCGTATCCATGCAGATTGGATACAGGAAAGAGCGATCGTACAGATATCGTCAATCCAGCCGAATGCCAGGGTTCTGCCAGGCAGTAACTGAGTGCGCGTGGTCTTAACGGTATTAATTTCTAACGCCCGAATAAGGGGCGTGTTGAAGAGAAGGAAAAAGATCGGAAAGATAGGGTACCCCTGGGAGATCCCCGTAGGGGTAAAAATGATATCGCTCAGGTAGCCAGGTAGTTAAAGTCGGGTCTGTCAGTCTAAAAGGAATGACTCCAGTCACCCGGCGAAGTACCCTAGTCGTGCTATCTTCAGATTGTGCAGCAGCCGGGTATGAGAGACGTTATCGAAAACCCCTGCTACGTCTAGCAGGAGCATACTTATTTTCTGGCCTCGGCCTCAGCCATCAAAGATAGCATCTATCAGTAGTTAAATTAGGTAGTCGACAGAGATACCCTTGCGTCCCCTTAAATGCCCTCGTGGCAGTAGGCTATATTCTTTCAATGCGTAGGTTATGCGGGTGGCGATAACTGCCTCTAGAATCTTACCAAGTGTATTCAAGAGGGCAATAGGCCGGTAGGATTTAACGATTCGATAGTCCCGTAGCGCGGCCTTACAGAGGACAACTGTAGTAGATTGCTGAAAGTATTCGGGGTTATACCCGAGCCGGATACAGGCATTAAAGATGCCCGTAAGTGTTTTCACGAAAGAAGGAACCTTACCTAATCAGTGTCAGACCTTATTAGGGATGCCGTCAGGCCCGGGGGCCTTGTCAGGAGGCGCCTTTCGGATGCAGCGCAGCATCTCGTGTTCGGCGAAATCCGGGAAACCAAATTGCCGAGATAGGAAGGTTGTAAGGATATCAGAAAGGTCTGCAAGAGGTAGTTGAGAAAAGAAGGCCTTCCGGAATACCTCAACTTTCTGTTTTGCGGTTTCTGCGAGGCCGTTATCTGGTTTTTCAGTGTTGGGACCAGTCCCCCGGAGGCGTCCCGGTTCCTGGCCCATCTGGCCAGGCGCCACATGCCTCGGGGGCCTGCCTCGGTGGCCTTTCTGACCCAGGTCCGGTGTCCCTAGCGTAGGGCCCTCGCCAGCACTTTTCCTTTGCGGTTTCTGACCTTCGTATAGCGGTCCCAGGCCAGCCCCGTAGTAGGATCGGTAAGGCCCATAGCTATGCAGGTCTCGGTGTATGCACGCCTGAATCTACGAGTGATCTTGATCATCTCTCGGCATTCCGGGGTTAGTGTTCAAGAACAGATGTTAAGGTGGGAATAAGTATGACAAGGCGACTGGGCAAAAATCGCAGGCGCATTTTTCTACGTGGACTGTTCAGTAAACCGCTATGGGCAAACTAAGGCCCGTTTCGAGCATACAGCTCAGCTCTTGGGGGTATGTGCACTTATGATAACTCAAATTGAGCTCTCACGACTAGACTCTACTCCCCTGAGAACTTACCCGTATTACGCAGGAACCAAAATAATCCAGAGAACATATCTAGTGATCTCAAAATCCGGTCGTGGAATCCGATAAATTGAACCCTACTCTGCTGGAAGGTGTGACGGTCTACAAAGAAGCTTAGTAAAAGACAAGTTTGTTTGTGACTCGTAGTCAAGGAATTTTCCCATGGAGAGGAAAGGCTATCTAGGAGCGAGGATCTAGGGCCTCTATGTATTGCCTGAGGCTCCAGGAAGGTTCATCTATACCGGGAAGTTCCTTGGCTCAGGAAGTAACAATCCGGAAAGTTCCCTGATTTCAGGAGGTAACAGAAGGTCCGAGACGCTCCCAGAACCATCGGTAACGTTCTTAGGAGACAAAGGTACCGCGAACAAATATTCAGCTACCTGTGGGAGTTATCGTCTAAGCCCATAATAAAGGAGAGAGTATAAGGCGGTGAAGCTAGCTTTGCGCTTCCATATAATATATTCATTTACAGTACAATGAACAATAGGACGGTATAAGTGTTGTAGATTCGGGTTTTCTGATCTAGTCCGATGGCTCAGGATATAGCGGAGAATTTAGGTGGGTTGGAATAATTTCTAGCAAGAGACCTGGGGGATGCTAAGGTATTAGGAATTGCACGGACCTACGATGGGGGTGGAGAATGTGTCGGTTAGCCGATCTTTTCAGTCCTACAATCCCTCCGGCTTGGCATTAGATACCCACAGGTATTACCCTCAGGGTATACCCCGTGGGTAAGTATAGCGTAGGCCCTTGGTGTAGGCCCTTAATAGCGTAGGCAATTTGGGTCCCCTTGATAACAGTGAAAAGGTCTGTACCACGGTCAGAAAATTTCTGAGGAATTGTTTCTATGTTGCCCTTGGTCTTCCATAACCCAAAAGCTGTCGATTTCAACTGTTGGCGTAGACGCGTTTAATTCGCCCATAGAAAATAGTTACATTATGTTTTTACACAATTTGCAGAGTCTAATTGATTTTGTCCATGAAGGCGGGCTCCTAAGTTGGTTAGATCAGTTTACTTAGTAAACGCTTCAGCGCCCCCTTGTTAGCTGGTTCTAGCGTCTATATTTTGGTTATTCGGAGTGGAACTAGCCCAAAACAGATAATCCGCGGCCAGTAAGATTTAGTGGAATGACAATATTTGGAGACTGGACAATGCTTTGGCGAAAGTCAATTCTGTAGACTATCTACGGCTGGGTGTATTACAGCTGAAGTGGCTGGGACAACTGCTCCAATATTAATTCTTGAACGAGTTTGTGTCAGTGGTAAATGCACCATGGCAGGGTTTTTCCGAAACTAATTTCCAACACTTTCGGTCTATGTTATGTGTTGACTGACTTACTTTGTGACGGCGATCTCGACGTAGATTACGCTGGCTTCTCTTATTACCCCTGCGCCGCAATGGTTGTGTGTTTCCTAACCCACTCTAATCATAAGAATTTATACTATACCGCGAAGATTTCTCCCCCTACCTTATAGCCATTTTCCTCACTTGCAGTTCGCAAAGGTCATTAGAGATATGGCAGTCAGTCTTCAGCTCTTAAATTCAGGCCTGTTATAAAATATAAGCGAGATAAAAATACTAATCAATAACAGGGACCATTTTGCGTTGTAAACGGATGTTTAGGAGTCTGGATAGTGCTTTCCTTCAATGCCGGGATTGGTGTCAGCAGATACGGCGTTTATACGCTCCTGAACAAGAATACTGGCGAGAAAGTGGAGGCAGACGAATGTAATTGCGTACAGATGGGTAATGTACCTGCGCAAGGACGCGATCGGACAGGGGATCTATTAGGGAAAACCGGTACGGTTTTGATGGTTTCCAGCAAGATCAAAAGGATCAAAACGAGATAGGGAAGAGACGTTAATGGATGTATAATTATCTAGGATAAGGAAAAAATATACTAGCAATTTAAAGTACGAAAGCCGAGATACCCCTAGAACTCTGTTAGTGATCGACCGACATAGCCAACAAGTTTCTGATAATGAAATCTTACTCTGAGATTAGAAGTACCGCGTACAAACATCCGCCTGTCTGTTGATGTAATCCATATAGACGACTCTCGCTAGCATGCTGTATGACCGAGCGGTTTGAACCTAGTACCGGCTCGACAATCTTTGAAGCCTTAGCAACGGCCCGCTGCTGGCGTAAGCTCTTAGGGGCACAAACCAACAGAATAGGCTTTCAGTTCATCGGATCACCCGTCCGGATTTTGAGATAACTATATCTGTTCTCGAAAACAACAACTTCAACGCGAACCAAATTTTTGAAATTACTCAATCACCACGACGGCTACGGCCTCTAGAATCAGCTAGTTTATTACTAACCCCAGCCGCTATCGATTGAGCCTAACTTTATAGGAGATATCGATATTGTTGAGGCGAAACCCTCGTGGCCGGCCTTTTCAGGGATTCTCGAGGCGGTAAACGCACACAATCAGAATTTTCTTAACTGCGTTTTGAACTTCAATAAAGATGCGCAACAATACCTCTTATATAACGAATCGAATGAAAAACAGTTTTTTAGACCGGTAGTCGGCTTTATACAGTAGATAGCTGACGCCTGCAAATTTTTATAACGCGAAACTGTAGATATTCTAGTCGCCAACTGCCGTATCAGCCCTGAGCTGGCTAACATCCGGCAGACTCTCTAGACCGTCCAAAAACAGAGCTATTACACTCAATCAAACATACAGAAACAGAATTGCCAGTTTTGGGCTTCTGTAGTCCGTAACGCGCCTCTCCCGGTCTATACGATCTCTTCTTACGGTTCCTTTAGTACTGCCCCGGCCACTCCGTCGGAGCTCAGTAAAGACCGCGAAATTATCGTTAAATTACGAGATGTTAATGCAATATGTACCTATTAATGTCTTACAGCCTCGGATATTAAGTAAAAAGCGAAAATAGTAAAATAGAAAACGTGTAACCAAATAGGGACTCTCTCTTTGATTAAAATGCGTTTTATAGTTGCTAGACAGCTTAAATCCAGCGATCTAAATCTTTTACTCCGTTATACCGCTGAGGCCGAAGCTACCAGGACCTACGATTAATAGGTCAACTATTTGAGTGCGGGAGCCATACTGCGGCATCCCTCTTAGGATATTATTATATATAGGATCGCATTTAAGTTAAATGGAGATCTCATTACTGATACAGAACAATAACGGGTGGCTAACGAGCTATTCGAAAAAAATAGAGATTGCTGGATCAATAAGGAAGCTTAATAGAGCCCCTAAATTACGCGTATTACGTGGCTCACTTATCCGTCCAACTATAAGAATTAGAGATCGTCCGCCCTGATCGTAGAATTCTTAGACCCTTGTTACGCTAACGAGACAATCGCACAAGACACTATTTAGAATAGCATTATCTATAAGATAGTGTTATATGATCGGACTGTTCGTATCCGACGGTACTTTAACTGCTAATAATATAGTTACATAGGAATTGTCTGTTCGAATAAAATAACTTGCGGGCTCTGTAGGGGTAGCTACGAGACCCGGAACTGCTCCCACAAGTCTACTAGCAGCCAGGAGCGCCACTGTATAGGGTATAAAGAAGTACACGCTGCCTGGCACAAAGGGTATTCGAGGTATGCAGCAGAAATGGACCGGGTTCAAGTTATAATAATGTACTGGCAAGCCTGATACCGGGTTCCTTCATATCTGCAGGACTTTCAGTTTTCCGTACGTAGCAGTACGGAGGCCTCCAGCTCGTTTAATAGCGAGGGACGCAGCCAGCCGCACACAAGCCTCTCAGAGAGACATATAAGGTCCGTTAGTAGACCTGCAAGCGTTCGTAATCGTTTAACAATCTGATTTTAACCGGGGTCTACGCTGCCGCACGCCGGCTCGCAGGAAATGATTCCTATAGCTAGTAAATTCTCCGAAAATAGGATAGATTTTACTGCGGATAAAGTGGGTACGCCTCCGCAGTCTGACCGGGAAGAAGCCAGTCAGCAGAGTAAGCCAAAGATGCCTGCTACAGTAATTCCGATACCTAGGGATTGCCGTAAACGAAAGAGTGGCCTGCAGAACGTTACCTCGTCTAAAGGAACGCGCCAGAGTGCCTGTACCCAGCCCGCAATACGGCAGGAAACCTCATACCTAACTATTATACCAGTTGACTTACCAACAGGCGACATACTACCCACAAAACGATCTCGCAGTAGAGTAATATACCGAAAACGATCGACTTTGGCCAGCGAGACCCCTACTGTTTTCCTTCCGAAGACTCCGGTACCAACTACTGTACCTATCACGGCTTCTATTACGAGGACCTGTTCAGTATCACAGAAACGCACTAGAGCTGACCGATTATAATTAAGTCCCTTTATATCCTCCAATATAATACGAATCGATCTAAAGACAAGGTGATGGTACAGTTCCTCCGGGACCCTGCGGTTCTAGAGGCGGACCTCATCTTTGTACAAGAACCTTAGGAGAATCCTTACCAGGATACCACTTATTATCCTGCTAACGGTTCCTACCAACTCCTATACCCGGATTCGACCGAAATAGAGAACGAGCGGGCCCGCGTGTGCCTCTATATATTATGCCAAATCGATCCTAATACCTGGAAACATACAGCGCATTCGAAGGACGTCTAGGAACTCGAATTTACTGATGCTGACGGCTAACAAGTGCGCATCTTCAATATATATAATCGACCTAACGAAATAGATGGTACTACCCTTGACCTCGTTACTTTTCTAACTATCTCTACCGGCTCTACTAACAGCTTTACTAACCCCCGTTTGCTCCTGTTGGGCGACTTTAATCTCTACCACCCAGCGTAAGAAGAAAAATGCTCTGAGAGAGACCTATCATCTGACCAGTTGCTACAACTGACGGATACGAGATGCCTGGATCTCTGACTAGACCCAGGCACTACCACGTGGGAGCGCAACGGAAGCAAGATTACTATCGATCTGGTCCTCGGCTCGCAGGACCTGACCCCTAGGCTCGTTACATGCGAGGTTAACGAGCGAAATCACGCAGATTCGGACCACTATCCAATACGAACCCTTCTTGATATCAGTACTAAAACCCCCGAGATACAGCGAAAAAGGAACTGGAAAACCTGCAGTGTCAAAGACCTGCAAAGTTTCGTGGACCTTAACCTACAGAGCAAGGCCTTTCCCTTGCAAATAAAGCAGCATATTGAGCTCGCTATAGAATACCTTATCGAGACAATTAACCAAGGAATCGCTACCTCTACCCCGTAGGCGAGGCCCAGCAAATGGGCGAACCTTTCATTCACTGCAGAATGCCGCGAAATGGTTAAGATCACCCGGAAATTCCGGCATGAGTATACGGAATCAGTTATTGCGAACGGCCCTACTGACCCTACTACAGGCCTCCGGTGGGAGCGTTATACTAAAGTCAGAAACCGCAAAGGAAAAGTATTGGCTAAGGTACTACGCTAGGGCCACCGTTCCTGGGTCCGCAAGGCTACCGAATCAGGCCCCCGAGGCATGTGGAAGGCAGCTAAATAGGCGAGAAGCAGGGAGGCCCGCGAAAACCTTATACTTACGCTGAAAACAGATGACGGGCTCGCAGAGACCGCAGAACAGAAGGTAAAGACATTTCGTAAAGCTTTCTTTTCTGAACTATCCCTGGCCGACCTCTCTGATATCTCTACGGCTCGGATATCCCTCTAGATCGATTTCCCAGACCTTATCGAGCACGAGATGTTCTGTTGCATCAGGCGGGCGCCTCCCGATAAAGTACTAGGGCCGGATGGCATCCCTAACAAGGTCTAGCACTGGCTGAGTGAGGTCTCCTCTTTTTTCGCTGTACTAACGCAAATATTTAATGCGTGCCTACGTCTTGGGCATAACCCGGAATACTTTCAGTAATCGATTACTGTAGTACTGCGTAAAGCAGCCCCCCGGGACTATTGTATCGCCAAATCCTACCGACCTATAGCGCTCCTAAATACCCTCGGTAAGATCCTGGAGGCTGTAGCTACAGTACGGATCGTTTGGGCCCTAAAAGAACGTAATCTCCTACCTAGGAGCCATCTAGGGGGCCGCAGGGGTATCTCAGTCGACTACCTGATCCAGTTGTTCCTTGACCAGATCTTTGAGAGCTAAGGCAAGGGCCGGAAGGTCAGTATGCTATTCTTAGACGTAACTGGCGTTTTTGATAACGTCTCGCATATACGGTTCCTCTACAATCTACGTATGTTAGGGCTCAGCTTTTTCGCTGGCTGGCTCGGATCTTTCCTATTAAACCGATCTATAAGGTTGCAGCTTCCCGGATATTTCAGTAACCTTATTCCAACCCTTACCGGTATCCCCCAAAGATTCCCTGTATCGCCAATCCTATTCCTCTTATTTAATACCCCCCTTATTCGCGCCCTGTTAATTGACAGTATCAAGGCCCTTCGAATTCAGCTACCCCTTCTGGAGGGAAGCAAGACGGTCCCCTACGGGTGGATTAACGATATTGTTACCCTGGCCATCTCGGATAGCTACGCGGTCAACCAGTGTCTTCTAGAGAGGGCCCTAGATAAGGCCGCGGTATGGTCAAGGCAGCATTCGTCCAAATTTGCCTCCGATAAATTCGAACTCATTCATTTCAAGAACCCGTTTCGCCCTGACCCTGCGGTAAAACGATCTGTACCGCAGAAATATATATATACTGAGCCGTGGCAGGGAGAGGACCCAGAGGTTGATAACTGGGATCCCCCAATGGAATCTCCTGGTCACGACCAGCTGCCTATCAAGGACCACGCAACCGGCTCTATCATCAAGCCAATAGAGTACGCCAAATATCTAGGAATCTGGCTCGATAGGACCCTTTTGTTTGACACTCACAGGGCCAAGGCCCTTGCCAAGGCGAACAGAACCTTGGAAGCCTTCCGCAGCATCTCAGGCTCGACCTGGGGGACCTCCCTGCTGAGCATGCGCCGCATCTACCTAGCAGTGGTAGTCCCTCAGCTACTCTACGGGGCGGCAGCCTGGTATAGCCCTACGAGCCGGACAGCTAACTACAAGAAGCTCCAGAAGACAGTTAATGAATTTTAGAGAATTCAAACCCGCGTAGCTATTCTTATCAGTGACGCGTTCCGTAACACGGTTTTAACTGCACTAGATGTAGAGTTCTACCTCTCCCCTATACGAATACAGATGCAACAAACTATTCAAGAGGCGGCCATTCGGATTCAAACCGGGCCGGCTATAACCTGCCCCCGGGGCCTCCGCTGGAAAAGGTCGAAAGAGGCATTTAAGGCCTCCGGATACTCTCCGATAGAGGCGCTGAAGTGGAAGAAAACAGGCCCGCTATATGGATACGGCAGCAGGCAGGAGGTATAGGAGACCAGACGGACTCATGTGTTAGCCCCGTGGGAGTCGCCTCTCAGGTACATCATTGAGGGGGCAGAGGAGGCAGTCCAGACCCACGATAGAATCTGCCGCGAGGACCGGCAGATCTGGTATACAGATGGAACCGGCTATCAGGGGATGATCGGAGCTGCCGCAGTCTCTATTCGAGCAGGTAAAACCGCTAGAAAGTACCTAGGAACGGAACTGGACTCTACGGTCTACGTTGGGGAATTAGAAGGGACCCGAATGGCCCTAGATCGGGCGAAGCCTATCCCGATCACGGTCTTCTCAGACAGCCAGACAGCTATTCAAACCGTGCGCAACCCCGGCCGGCCATCGGGTCAGTACGCATTGCGAGCTATTTATGAGAGGATCAGGACCTTGCGGAGCGAGAGCCTAGAGGATGCTAAATTACGTTGGATTCTCGCGCATATCGGGGTAAAGGGAAACGAAAGGGCAGACAAGGCAGCCAAGGAAACTGCGATAAAGGGAATTAAATTAAGCTCAGTAAAGCTGCGAGATCGACCAATCATACAGCTTGTAGCTGCAGCTAAAAGAGATATCCGCTAACGCTTGCGTACAGAGTAGATAGAGCAGTAAAAAAGGCAGAAAATAGGCAGGCTGACGAGGCGGCTGCTACCTAAACCAAACAAGAAGAATCTATGGTTTTACAAGTATCTCTGTAAGCCTCATACCTCGATTATCATTCAGATATACACTATAAGGATAGGATTAAGGCATTTCCTCTACAAGATCAAACAGGTCGACTCCGACCGGTGCGCCTGTGACCTAGGGTCTCAGACCCCTAGGCACGTCCTTCTGGAGTACTCGTTGCACACGGCCGGCCGGAGGATAATGATAGATCATTTCAATCAGATAGACTGCGTAAGCGTATACAGGATTATGATGCAGTTATAACATACCCGCAGGCGATCCGCTATATCGCCAAATTTATGCAACAAACAGGCCTTCTTTAACAATTCCGATTCGCTCAACTGGACGAGGAAGACGAGGAGGCTCCAAAACCTACCAACCTGCTAGAAGGACTCGAACTAGGCGAGGAAGACGATAGTTACATGGAACTTTAGGGGTCGGCCTGGGTCAGGCCGCTACCAGTGACGCATACTACCCACGAACTACCTATATAGAACGAGGCGGAAGGAGAGACAGCATCAGGAGACGTAAGCTGCGGCAGGCGAGTGGCAGCCGGTTTAGTTACGTTACTTTATGATTTATCTACTGCGTTTGTGGGTTTATATAGCGTAAGGGCTCGAGATTCTGCTTCATTCGGCGAAGCGCCTGCATAGCCTGTCGTTTCAATAGATAGGCTTCATCAGGTTAATAGAATTTTGATTGATTGATTGATTGATTGAGCTGAAGTAAAGCTTGAACGAAAAGGTATTTTCTAGAAGATTAAAATGTTTCAGGCACTACATGCAGTCAAAGCTAAACTTAAGAAGTATTATACAGCTACTGATACTGAACCATATAAAACAGTTTATGCAATTGTTACTATTTTCTGCTTATCTAAGAAGCTCCGCTACTTTGATAATGATGACTGGCGAAAGACTTATGCAAATAGTAAACAGGCTGACTTCATAAAAATCTATCGGGACAAATTACAAGCCGAATTTGAACGTTACAAGCAGCGTATTCTCCCCTAGATCAATATAACAGAGTCTAAAGCCTCTCAAGACGATCCTGATGATGATCTCGCTTTCATTATAGATTCACAAACAGCCCTCCAACCCGAGGTAGATCAGCCAGTGGATGAGATTACCCAATATCTCTCAAAAGGTTTATATCTCTGTAATAATGCCTAGATCTTAGTTTACAATACTATAAGTCTTACAAGAGGAAACCCTCGTCTCTTCTGGAAAGAGTATAAGCAGGAATATCCAGTACTTGTAGCATTAGCTCGAGATATTCTCTTTACTCCTGCAAGCGGTACTGGTATTGAACGGCTCTTTAATTGTGTCTATAATATCTGCTACTATTGCCGAGGTAAGCTCAAATCTGAAACAATCAAAGAGCTTGTGCTCCATTTCTTCTCTTTCAAGTTCGATCTCCAGCAAAACGAGCTTGATCTAATTAAAGAGTATACATTAGAGGGAGAGACTGCTATCCTTAATGAGTCATGGAAGCTTTCTCTATCACTGAATAACATTGATCCTATTAGTGATGATGAAGAATGTAACAACCTCAGAAATGAAGAACTGGCTCTTATTGCAGGTAATTTACTAGAACACTAGGTTGAAGAAGGAAAAAGAAGAAGACAACGATTTACTGCATGAAGCAGTAAACAAACCCACTGCGTGGGACAAACAGTGCAAACATTACAAATACTGTAATCACCTTGGCGCAGGTAACGCTCCATGTTCAGCTCGTCATAAGGAAGAGGGTAGATACCAAACTGAGGAGCTACTAGATGAACCAGACAGTGATTTAGAGAACAAAACATATCTTGTACAGACTATAATACAGAGTAAGAGGCTACATGAGGCTATTGAGCCTTAAGATAGTGATGATGGTGGCCTTCCTCTTCCTGAAATGCTAACTGAGGAGGCTACGCAGGGGCGATCGAGAGGGATTCGGAAGAGGCCAAAGATACCGGATAGCTTTGAGATAGAAAAAAATCTGATATAAATAGTCAAAATTATGTAAACTAGCTGAATTTAGAGTTTCTCAGGGTACCTTCATATTAATATCAAAGAGTGTACACATTGCTAAGTATTAAATAACGAAACTGCACCCAAAGTCTTCGATTTTTCGATTATGCTATAACATGTAGATACACAAAAAATACCAGAAAACTGCATAATCTATGCAGGCTCCACTAGATCACGAGTCTTGGCCTGTTTATAATGTTTATGATCCGACGGATATCGTATGATATCCGCTGAGATCAAAAAAATTATCGTATCGTATCCACTGCGGATAATTGATAATGAAAATCTATCGTTATCGGCACTTGGATACGATCGATCGATAACTATCGTACGATAATGCGGATAGTGACACAGCCTAGTTAGAACAGACGCGTTCCTTAAATCACTGTATGATATTACTTTTCCTTTTCAATTCGCGCAGGGCGGCGCTGCATTAGAAGTTATTTTTAAATTCTTGCACTGTTTTATGTCAGTTAGCCCAAACACTTTTAGACAAGTCCCTCTTTCACTTGTAGAGGTGCCGTAATGCTAAAACTCCTTTTACAGTAACACAGCACTGTTAGGCATGTAATAAAAGAAAGCCCTTCCCAAGGCTTTTTCAGTTAGTCCGCGTGTAACACTATACGAGTCTAGCACTCGGACAATATCCGTCCTTGATGTTACTTCTGTGCTCCTGCACATATAGAGTTGGATTTCTAGTCAGCTTGATGGCTTTCCCTTCCAAGCGAGAGCCTGTCTTCAGCAGCAGCCGCGCACAATGGGAACCTCGAGCCATAGAACAAAGAGCTTCTGACATCACCCTGGCGAGTCTCAAATTAAGGTTGCAGGCGGGGGGAGAAACAGTTCCCCCTTTGTGCAGGCATCCAAAGTGAGAGATAAGGATCCTGTGCATACGGAAAACCTCGCTGCTAATCAAAATCGAGGTCCTCAATGTCTTACTGCCAGTTGCGAACACCTGCTGAATTCCTCTCTCAGAATCTTTGCATGCTGTATCTGAAGATTGGACAACAGTTCTAGAGCCCGTGTCCATAATGAACAATTCGCTACTCCGTAGTAGAACGAGGAGGAACGAGGCGGCTCGCTCCGATAAAAACTCTTATCAGAATACGAGGATCGACAGAAGATCTCTTCCGAATTCTCAACAATAGTAGAAGCACCTGCTAGGTGACCAACAATGCACAATCGTGGCCGGCTTGCAGCTCTTGAGTGCTGAGTAAAACAGGTTACCGAGATTGTGATCGATGGGAAATACGAGAGCCCCACGACTTAAGGGTCTGATACTGCTCAGCTCCGGAATGCCAAGAATCTCGATTCCTCTTTAGTTCTGGTTATCCTACAAACCCCCATGTTATTGGTGATCCAAATGAAAAGGCCTTTGTTAGTCTAAAATATCTTGCCCCATATCGTGTTTGGCACATCGAGCCCGTTACAAAATATCAGTCGAAGTCCGTCCAGGGGGCTGAGTATAAGAGCTGCTTGAGTCGCAGTCAGGTCAAATTCTGTTGTTTTATTCATTCATTGTTTTTTACATTCTTTGCGCAGTCTCCAGAGCCCTAGGGTTTGCATCGAAATCCGGTTCCCCAATTGTTCTACCTTGAGATATACCATGCGTTTCTCCCGCGTTGCCCTTGTGGGCCTTGCCGCCGTTGTCTCCGCCGAGCTCAGCACTTGGAACGACGTGGTGGGCAATGTGCCCAAGTGCATGAAGACATGCCTAAACGATTTCTACACCAAATCCGGTTTCGAAGACGAGTGCGGAAGCTCCGGCTCAGCAGCTGTGGACTGTCTCTGCGGTGTCAAGGATTCCTTCTCGGATGTCCAGGACGCGGGCGAAGAATTAAGCTCGTGTATCACAAATGGCTGCTCAACTAGCGACCTTACGGATGCGTCCTCCCAGATCTCGGGATTTCAGAGCCGACTTACCAGCATTATGGACCAGTGCACCAAACAAGGTAAGCTTCTAGCACACCTAGTTCTCCCTTTCATCTCATCGCATGAAATGGTCGCATGCTGATTGTTAATTTAACAGAATCTGCCAATGGTGCTGTGTCCGTGGTTCCTAGCTTTAATACAATGCTTGCCTCTGGGGCTGTGCTTCTGATCGGTGCAGCACTATAGACCGATATCACCTGAAAGCCACAATGCTGTACAAGCGACGTGAAACATAAATACCATTATGCACCCCCTAATCGCAGATCAATCAATCAATCAATCAAAATTCTATTAACCTGATGAAGCCTATCTATTGAAACGATAGGCTATGCAGGCGCTTCGCCGAATGAAGCAGAATCTCGAGCCCTTACGCTATATAAACCCACAAACGCAGTAGATAAATCATAAAGTAACGTAACTAAACCGGCTGCCACTCGCCTGCCGCAGCCTATTACGTTTCCTGACGCTGTCTCTCCTTCCGCCTTGTTCTATATAGGTGGTTCGTGAGTGGTATGCGTCACTGGTAGCGGCCTGACCCAGGCCGACCCCTAAAGTTCCATGTAACTATCGTCTTCCTCGCCTAGTTCGAGTCCTTCCAGCAGGTTGGTAGGTTCTGGAGCCTCCTCGTCGTCCTCCTCGTCCAGTTGAGCGAATCGGAATTGTTGAAAGAGGCCTGTTTGTTACATAAATTCGGTAACGTCGCGGATCGCCTGCGGGTATACTATAACTGTATCGTAATCTTGTATACGCTCACGCAATCTCTCTATCTGATTAAAATGATCTATCATTATCCTCCGACTGGCCGTGTGCAGCGAGCACTCCAGAAGGACGTGCCTAGGGTTCTGGAACCCTAGGTCACAGGCGCATCCGTCGGAGTCGACCTGTTTAATCTTGTAGAGGAAATGCCTTAATCCTATGCTTATAGTGCGCATCTAAATAATAATCGAGGTATGCAGCTTACTGAGATATTCGTAGAACCTTTAAATGCGCTGTATGTTTCCAGGTACTAGGATCGACTTGGCATAATATATAGAGGCATACGCGGGCCCGCTCGTCCCCTATCTCGGTCGAATCTGGGTATAGGAGCTGGTAGGAGCCGTTAGCAGGATGGTAAGTAGTATCCTAGTAGAGATTCTCCTAAGGTTCTTGCACAAAGATGAGGTCCGCCTCTAGAACCGCAGGATCCCGGAGGAACTGAGCCATCACCTTGTCTTTAGATCGATTCGTATTATATTGGAGGATGTAAAGGGGCTTAATTATGATTAGTTAGCCCTAATGCGTTTCCGTGATACTAAACGGGTCCTCGTGATAGGAACCGTAGTAGGTGCAGTAGTTGATACCGGGATCTTCGGGAAAGAAACAATAGGGATCTCGCTAGCCGAGATCGATCGTTTTCGGTATGCTACTCTACTGCAGGATCGTTTTGTAAGTAATATATTGCCGGTTAATAAGTCAACTGATATAATAGCCAGGTATAAGATTTTCTGCCGTTTTGCGGACTGGGTACGGGCACTCTGGCGCGTTTTTTTAGACGAGATAACGCTCTGCAGGCCATTTCTTCGTTTACAATGACCTTTAGATATCGGGGTTACTGGAGCAGGCATTTCCGGCTCACTCTACTGACCGGTTTTCTCCCGGTTAGGCTACGGAAACGCACTCACTCCGTCCGTAGCAAGATTTATCCTGTTTTCGGAGAGTTCGCTAGCTGTAGAAATCATTTCCTGCGAGCCGGCGTGCGGCAGTATAGATCCCGATTAAAATCGGACTGTTAAACGGTTACGGACGCTTGCAAGTCTATTAACGGATCTTGTACGTCTCTCTAAGAAGCTCGTGTGCGGCTGGCTGCGTCCCTCGCTATTAGACGAGCTAGAGGCTTCCATACCGCTACGTACGGAGAACTGAAAGTCCTATAGATAGGGAGGGACCTAGTACCAGGCTTACCGGTATACTGCTATAGCTTAAACCCGATCTATCTCTGTTGCATATCTCGAATACCCTTTGTGTCAGGCAGCGTGTGCTTCTCTACATCCCGTACCGCTAGCGGCATTCCTGGCTGTTAGTAAACTTGTGGGAGCAGTTCCGGGTCTCGTAGCTGCCCCCACAGAGCCCGCAAGTTATTTTATTCGAACAGACAATCCCTATGTGACCATATTATTAGCAGTTAAAGTACTGTTAGATACAAATAATCCGATTATATAATACTGTCTTATAAATAACGCTATCTCAGATGGTATCTCGTGCGATTGCCTCGTTAACGTGACGGGAGTCTAAGAATTCTACGATCAGGGCGGACAATCTCTGATTTTTATAGTTAGACGGATAAATGAGTTACGCGATACACGTAATTCAGGGGCTCTATTAAGTCTCCTTATTTATCCAGCAATCTTTGTTTTTCTCGAGTAGCTCATTGGCCACCCGTTATTGTTCCCTATCGGTAGTGAGATCTCTAATTGACTTAAATGCAATCCTATATATAACAATATCCCAAGAAGGATGCCGCAATATAGCTTTTGCGCTCAGGTAGTTAACCTATTGATTGTAGGTCCTGGCAGCTTCGACCTCAGCGGCGTAACGGAGTGAAAAACTCAGATTGCCGGATTTAAGCTGTTTGGTAATTACAAACCGCGTTTTAGCCAGAGAGAGAGCTCCTGTTTAGCTGCATATTTTTTGTTTTACTATTTTCGCTTTTTACTTAATATCTGAGGCTGTAAGACGTCAGTAAATGCGCATTACACTAGCATTCTGTAGTTTAACGATAATTTTGCGGTCCTTGCTGAGTTCCGACGGGATGGCCGGGGCGGTACTAAAGGAGCCGTAAAAAAAGATCGTATAGACCGGAGGAGATACGTTGCGGATCACAGAAGCCTAGAACTGGCAATTCTGTTTCTGTATACTCGATTGAATATAATAGCTCTGTTCTTGGACGGTCTGGAGGGTCTGCCGGATATTAGCTAATTTAGGGCCGATACGGCAGTTAGCGACCAGAATATCTACAGTTTTGCGTTACAAAAATTCGCAGGCGTTAACTACCTATTATATAAAGCCGACTACTAGTTTGGAGAGCTGTTTTCCGTTTGATTCGTTAAATGAAACGTATTGGTGCGCATCTTTATTGAGGTTCAAGACGCAGTTAAGAAAATTCTGATGATGTGCGTTTACCGCCTCGGGAATCCCTGAAAGGGCCGGCCACGAGGGTTTCGCTCCCACCATATCGATGTCCCCTATAAAGTTAGGTTCAATCGATAGCGGCTGGGGTTGATAGTAAACTGGCTGATTCTAGAGGCCGTAGCCGTCGTGGTGGTTGAGTAATTTCAAAAATTAGGTTCGCGTCGAAGTTGTTGTTTTTCTCTTCCTCCTCCTCCTCCTTCCCAGAAGGTGTTGTTTAATTCTAAAACCGATTTCCCCAAAAAAAAGGCTATATAACGGCCGGCGCGCAACGCCCGCCCTACCAACGCACGTTCGACTTCTGGATCCTACACACGCTCACGGGCAGCATTGGGCACGTTTCGTTTCTCCGGGAGCCCTCACTCAGCAAGGCGCAGAAGGCCCGTCTCATTGAATGGAGCGGCCGATGCTTCATAATGACCTACGCAGGGCTAGTCGTGCCGCAGCTCCGATTGGACTACCTATGTTCGCACCGGTCCAAATTACCGGACCAGACGTGGGCGACTGTATTTGAGCGAGCGACGCGCCACGAGGACGACGGCCACATGGCGAAGATGATCCGGTCGACGCGGTTGTGCGAGGAGATATCGCGGCCGTACGATCATCTACCGGAGTTCCGGGTCAAGCAGGATATGTTTCTGACGGCGGGGATCGCGATGATTGATTCGGCAAGTGAGCAGCCCATGATGTGGACGAAGCATTGGGATTTTATCCGGGGGGCTGGCTGGGAGGGGGGGTGGACGAGGTTTCCGAAGAGAAATTATTAGGAGTTCCTGCCTCTGTTCATATATCTGGCTATGTATGTAGTTATCGCTATTGACACTGGTGTGTGCTCGAGGTCACGCCGAAGAACTATAAAATAACGCTCGCTGGAAAAGTGCTCGCTGAAAAGTAGATCGTAGATATCGTAAGGCCTAGGTGTAAATCATGGAAACATCGACGATGCGCCCCACCGCGCTTCGAATTGCTTGAGTGAAGTATACAGCCGTGGATCCGGCGTCGCCGATTGACGATCACGGATGTGCTTCATGGCTGCCCGGATGGTATACAGACAACTGGGCGGCAGGTTATCGATCTGGCTGAACGACAAACGTTCGTGGCCCGTGCATATGTCAATAACCATCTGGGTGACCGTGTCCAGGGCCGAGTGAGAACCATTGGCAGGATTGTAGTTCCCCGGGGTATCTCGGGCCTGTTGGTCGAGGAGATGCCAGTGGAGGAGAAACAGTGCCCTGAAAGTAACTCGATCAGACAAATTCATCAAATGATATACGACCAGGAGGCTGGGAAGAGGCGGGGGAAAACAAACCGAATCGTCAGCGCGGTAGCCACACAAAAAGGGCCATAATTACCTCCCCGCTGCTGCATCTACTGCATCACGATGGCGAGAAACGACTGCAGCGTCCGATCTCAGTCGGCCAGGTGAGTCCGTTTGCGATCAGGGTCGGTCAGGGACAGTCCTTGTAGCGCACCATCAAGCAGCCAGGCAGCTTGGGCAGCGCGTCCGAAGCCGCCGACTTCGGGCACGCTGACAGCGTGGATTGCGACGCTCCATGCCAGGGCCGCCACCGCGTTCTCGTGGTCAAGAATGTCGGACTCGAGTGGCAGGCGATCATCGCGGGCGGGCATCACGGAGCCCAACGGTTGCTCCACGGCGGGGAGCTCGCACAGGAAGGTTCTACGCTTGTCAGCTCTGATGAAACCCCTTGTGGGGAACAAAACAGTACCGCTCGCATATACGGATCCCCTACCAGATGTTGATCTCCTCCTCTGCGATCCAATCGGTCAGCGGAACAGGGCCGTTCAGCGAGGGCGAGGGTCGCAGTCGCGCTGCATAAGCCATGCGAGCGGAGCTTCCAATTGTAATAAAGGCCGTTTCGGGATGACCGCTAGCATACTCGTACACGGCCAGCAGCACGCCCACCTGCACCAGCCGGGTGGTCGGTGCACATAAGGCCTGTGTTTGTGCCACGAGCGACTTGATGGCTAGATAGGGCGTCTGATCGCCGACGCGGCGGCCGCCTGTTTCGGGCGAATCGGCTGAGGTGAGAAGCGCCATGCAGAGTAACAGCAGCGCAACGTCGACCTGCGGGTCCGCGCCGAAGGAGAGGAGACGTGCTTGGAACTGCCGGCGCGAGACAACGGGGACAAAGGCGTGGATCCCCCGGAAATAGCGGACGCTGATCTCGTCGAGACATAAGCCCGTAGATTCGAGTAGTCGCCGAGCCTGGCCGCACAGTGAGGGCTCACCGATGGGGATGGCAGTCGGCAGCAGGCTAGCGTTGGTCCAGCCGGTCGATGAGACGGGTCGATGTCGGGGCTGGAGGCGGACGTCTGATAGTGATAGAGACATGCTATATCATGGCTGTAGCAGATCAGTCATGTCATCATGCAATCCCTAGGGCAGGAAGCAGAAGCGTACTCGGCACAATAGCGACAGCGTGGCAGCAACTTGTCACATCGTTTCTTGCGGACCTTGCAGTTGGCGCATACGTTTGGCGCTCTTGTGTCGGCCGCCCCCATAGTGGATGCAGCGAGATCACCATGCAGAAGTCACAAGATGGTCGGCCGCGGCTAGTCCAGAAAGAGCTAGCGGCGGTCGCTCCTGGGCAACCCGTCCTGGCGGCCTGAGGCACCAGGGTCATTTGTGTTTCCTGGGCCGATCGAAGAACAGTCACTGCCACAGCCTGACCAAAAACCATTCAATTTTGAATAGTACTGGTGCTCAGCTAAGTATCCAACCTACGTGCTCATGGCTGGTCATATCTTAACAGTAGGCGGAAGTTATCGTTAGGCTACGGCTGGAGATATATAGTTTCATCCCAGAACTACATGTAACTTCCAGCAACGGGCTGTAGAGACAATAAATTGTAGAAGTTCTGCAGGGACCGCTTGCACGGCAGTGGTCAATGATGATGAAATAAACGGATATCTTGATAGTAGTGAATTGATGGATGGATGTAGGAAGAATCGAGGTTTTCCATGGTCGGCGAAATGCTTGGCTGTTTGCCTCAGGCATCCAAACGCCTACTTACTCCGTAAACATTATTACATGGGAACAAGGCAATTACCTGGGAATACCTTGGGAAATTGATTAACTAATAAGCTAGAAGGGAAGAAGAAAGGACAGACGGGGATTCCAAGATATAGATACAACTCTCCTTTGACCACTTATTTTGAGCACCCAAATAATCATCACCAAGGAGGGGAGGGGATTCACAAGGCTTTGCATATGCATATATATAGGCTGCAAGAGCCAGGGTCGGGAAGGTAGGAGTGCACAGTAACTCTGCAGGCAGCTGATGCGACCAACCCGTAAGCTGTGCGACCGAGCCTGGGATAGTTACGGTAGGGACTCTCCGGAGAGAACGGCTGGCTTCTAGAACGGTGGCCTGACATTCCAGGCTGCTCGTCCATGGACCATCACCTGATCCGCCGGGAGAAAGGAACAACAACGAGCCAAAGCAACGCAATCCTCCACACCATCCCATCCCAACGATGCGACCTCCCATTCATCCTCATCCCAGGAGGAGACGACGATCAAGGCCCGACGCCAAGCACCGCGCCTCTTCCTCCAGGCTTTGACACTGATCCACCCCCACATTTCCCCTCATTTGGCAGCCTTGGTCACGCTCACATCGCTGGCGGCACCGTTCCATCCGATCGCGCGCAGGATTCCACTGCCTTGTCATTGATGGTTGATCGCGGACTGACTCGTGGAAGATCATTCCCCCCTTGCTGGTCTCGGAGTGACTCTGCCCGTTTCCCCTCTCTTTTCCATTTAGCCCTGCGCAGGGACAACAAATCGCGTTGGAATTGGTACCTAGTTGTTTTCCCCTCTTATAGATCGGGTACCATCCACGGAGCATTTACCGTTCTCCTCTTCCTGATTTCTGACTGCGCCATCCGTGACAATCGAGAGTCTCCGATGTGGTATGGTGCCAAAGGTCATCCCTTGAGTTTCTTTCGGGCAATTGGAAGTCTCCTGGAATGTTAAGTGCTGCTGCTTGGTTTCGCCTTTAAGTCATGAGTGCTCCACTCTCCCTGCGGTCAGCGCTGGGGGCGTGTCGGGCGGCTCCCAGCGCGCACCTAGGAGCATCCCTCTTCTCCAAACGTCCTGGTAGGTGGATCTTGCGCTATAGCTCTGGAGCGATGATTCGAGAATCCACTAACTTTAATCTCTGATCGATAGTAACTCAGCTCCACCTGCCGTACCTGAGAAGCCAGCAAATTAATCGCGAAACGGTCTCTTTTCCCAAGTCCCCAATCACCAAACGGCACGCGAGCAGCGCTTCTTCTCCCTCGCCGGTCCCCACAGTCCCCTACTCTGCTCTGACGGTTGGCGTGCCTCGAGAGACATACCCAAACGAACGTCGTGTCGCGCTTACTCCTCAAAATGTCGCTCTGTTGCGCAAGAAGGGGTTCCCGCGCGTTTTGGTCGAGCGTGGTGCTGGCGAGGAAGCCCAGCTGCTTGACCAAGCGTATGAAGAGGCCGGAGCGACCTTGGTGGATTCATCTGTTATTTGGTCCGAAAGCGATATCGTCTTGAAAGTCCGCAGTCCACGACAGGATGGTCCTGTCGACGAAATCAACGCACTCCGTCAGGGCACAACCGTCATCTCGTTTCTGTATCCCGCCCAGAATAAGCCGCTAGTGGAAAGCCTTGCGTCGCGCGGTGTCACCGCATTTGCGATGGATATGGTTCCGCGGATCTCGCGTGCACAGACATTTGATGCGCTGAGGTAGGTTTCACAGCACCATCGCAAGCAAACATTTACTAATTCGAGGCAACTGCAGTTCGATGGCTAACATTGCGGGATATAAAGCTGTTTTGGAAGCTTCGAACCATTTCGGCCGGTTCTTGACGGGTCAAGTAACCGCTGCTGGGTGAGTTTCATACCTTCGTCTATTTGTTGATAAAACAGGCTAACTGACAGCGTCTAGCAAGGTTGTGCTTCCCCCATCGTGACTGGCAATTACTAACATGAACCTTTCAGATCCCTCCCAGTAAAGTTCTAGTCATTGGAGCTGGTGTAGCTGGCCTGAGCGCTATTGCCTCGGTAGGTCAACTTCTGTAGATTCTGAACTGTGTGCCAAGTACCAACCCCCGCCTAGGCCCGTCGATTAGGCGCGATTGTTCGTGGTTTCGATACTCGTCCCGCAGTCCGTGAGCAAGTCCAGTCTCTAGGTGCCGAGTTCATCGAAGTAGACATGCATGAAGATGGTTCCGGGCAGGGTGGATATGCCAAAGAGATGTCCAAGGAATTCATCGAAGCGGAGATGAAGCTGTTCATGGAACAAGCACAGGAAGTCGACATCATAATCACTACCGCTCTGATTCCTGGAAAGCCTGCGCCGAAGCTTATCACAAAAGAGGTACGGCCTTTGTTATCTGATTGTCTTCAAGGTGCTTATTGGGAGTCAGATGATTGCTGGCATGAAACCGGGCTCCGTTATCGTCGATCTTGCAGCAGAAGCTGGCGGTAACTGCGAAGCAACAATTCCGGGTCAGTTGACAGCCTACAAGGATGTGACTGTCATCGGTATGCCAACTTTGAGACATTCGAGCGTTTGTAGGCTAATCACAACAGGATATACCGATTTTCCGTCCCGACTACCCACGCAATCCTCTGCTTTGTACTCCAACAATGTCACCAAGTACCTTCTGTCAATGGCACCACAGGAAAAGTCGTTTGGGATTGACCTTACCGACGAAGTGGTCCGCGGCTCAATTGTCACGCTGAATGGTGAAATCTTACCCCCGGCGCCTCGTCCAGCCCCTCCACCGACACCGAAAGTCGAAGCAGCTCCGGTAAAGGAACAGGCAGCGCTGGCACTTACTCCCTGGCAAAAGGCCACACGAGATGTGACTACTGTGACAGCAAGCTTGGGATCTGCTCTTGCTCTAGGCAAAGCAACCGGTCCTATCTTTATGAGCAACATGATGACATTCGGCCTTGCTGGTCTGGTTGGCTACCGTGCTGTGTGGGGAGTTGCGCCGGCGCTTCATTCCCCTTTGATGAGTGTCACCAATGCAATTTCAGGTGAGCTTTTCTCCCTAAGCCTCAACGTATCAGTGCTAATATATCTTAGGCATGGTCGGTATTGGCGGTTTCTTCATCATGGGCGGCGGATATGTTCCCACCACGATTCCGGAGTACCTTGGAGCTGCGTCCGTGCTTTTGGCATTTATGAATGTATCGGGAGGGTTTGTTATAACAAAGCGCATGCTGGACATGTTTAAGCGTAAGACCACTCGTCTAATCTCTTTCGTCTGCTCACTCAATCAGGTCCAACCGATCCCCCTGAGTACCCCTGGCTCTATGCGATACCCGCTGTTGTTTTTGGTGGAGGATTCCTCGCCGCTGCTAGCACCGGAATGGCTGGATTGGTACAAGCTGGATATCTCGTCAGTAGTCTCCTGTGCATGGGTAAGTGGCACCTCTGTCGTCGGGTTTTCCGCTGTTCACAGATAATCAGGCTCCATTTCCGGTCTTGCATCTCAGCAGACCGCCCGCCGAGGAAACATTCTCGGTATTCTTGGTGTGGCATCTGGAATTCTGGCTTCTCTTGCAGCGGCAGGGTTTTCACCCGAAACATTAACCCAATTCGGCGCCATTGCTGGCATAGGGTCCCTTGTTGGTAAGTTCGTGAATCCGAGTATTTGACAGTATCTCATTTTGGCAGGAACATTGATTGGACGCCGCATCACACCAACCGGGCTCCCCCAGACAGTGGCGGCCCTCCATTCGGTAGTGGGATTGGCTGCTGTTCTTACCAGCATCGGCAGTGTCCTGGCTGATATAGATCACATTTCCACGCTACACATGGTTACTGCATACTTTGGCGTTTTAATCGGTACGTCCACTCCCCTGTGGTCCAATGGGTGCTAACGTTGGTAGGCGGCGTAACTTTCACCGGTTCAATTGTGGCTTTTATGAAACTGGCAGGTCGGATGTCTTCACGGCCGACTATTCTTCCCGGTAGACACGTTATCAATTCCACGTTGCTGGGCAGCAATATAGCTACTATGGGTGCTTTTGTTACGATGGCTCCAGCAAATCCAGTCATTGCCGCTACATGCCTGGGTGCAAACACGGCGCTCAGCTTTTTGAAGGGTTACACTACGACAGCTGCCATTGGCGGTGCTGATATGCGTACGTTTTCTCTCCAGATTTGAGAGGACGACACTGACAAGTCTAGCTGTTGTGATCACGGTTCTCAACGCGTATTCCGGGTTTGCTCTGGTCGCTGAAGGGCTCATGCTAAACAACCCGCTTCTTACGAGCGTCGGCTCCTTGATTGGAGTTAGTGGTTCAATTTTGTCCTATATCATGGTAAGACCCTAGATAGTTTTTGAAGGCCCAGTGTTGATTCAAGCAGTGTGTCGCTATGAACCGATCCCTCACCAACGTGCTATTCGGCGGAATTGCAGCACCGCAGCAAGCAAAGAAGATCGAGGGTCAAGTCACGCAGGCCACCGTTGATGACACGGTCGAGGCGCTGTCGAACGCAGAGAACGTCGTCATTGTATGTTCATGTGTCCATGGCTGGCAGTATATACTTATACTAACCCGCATAGGTCGTCGGATATGGCATGGCTGTGGCAAAAGCACAGTATGCCCTCGCTGAGATAGTGCATATGCTGCGTGCCAGGGGTATCAATGTCCGCTTTGCGATTCATCCGGTTGCTGGGCGTATGCCGGGACAATGCAACGTGCTTCTCGCAGAGGCGTCGGTTCCTTATGACAGTAAGTTGGCCCCTTGGCTCGCGCTTCCGTGAGAGACGGAGCGTCCTTGCATCGGGTGAAGCTAATTGGTATAGTCGTTCTGGAAATGGACGAGATCAATGACGACTTCTCCGACACGGACGTGACCCTAGTCATCGGAGCTAACGACACCGTCAACCCGAGCGCCTTGGAGCCGGATTCGCCGATTTCTGGTATGCCCGTGCTGCAGGCCTGGAAGAGCAAGGAGGTGATTGTTATGAAACGGGGAATGTCCAGCGGATACGGTAAGAGAGGGCATCGCGCCGTATAGATCATGAGGTGAATACTGACAAATGATAGCGGACGTGCCGAACCCGATGTTCTACATGCCCGGAACGAAGATGTTATTTGGCGATGCGAAGACTTCATGCGATGGTAAGGCACTGCCCTTGAGAAGTGATCAATTCTAACTCTTTCCAGCCATCAAAGCGAATCTTGAAGCGAGGAAATAGAACTAACATGTTTATTTTGTTTCTGTTATTCCATGTGGCTTCGGTTCTTTATTTTTGTTTCTCAGCATTCTGTGTCTCGTGATCGCGAATAGAGGCATATACAGTAAACTGCTTGATAGTGATAGCTCAATATTTAGTACCATGATTGTTAGCCTACGCCTGTTCTTTCCTCTTCATAGTCCTGAATGGGATTGACTGTATGTACTGATGATCCTCTTTACAAGACGTATGGATCTTCTTCTGACCAAGAGGGCACCTGTCGTGATCTTATGGTGGGGTTATCGCTTTCACAGGTTGTTGAGTTGAACATCCGACAGGTCAGAATCGGCGCATCGAGAATAAATCGACTTTTACAAATGTCCGCATGTGTAGAATAATGTTTCTGGAAACACCTGTATTTTACCAGACCAATCGAGCAAATTGTTCCTGTGCAAGTAATGATAACTATACTCATCTAAATAATCACGCATCTCTAGGTTCCCTCCATCGTCTAGAAACCGAATAGAAACCAAATCCAAGAAGCCAAACCACGATCAAAATGATAGCTTGCCAGGGAGCAAAAACTGCTCCCCTCACAACAACAAATCCACTAACCAACGCGAAGATAGCCGGAATCACAATGAAGGGTTTATAGGGACGATGAAGCCCTGGCTCTCTGAAACGCAGAACAATGGCTCCCAGAACGGTCAGGAAGAAGAAGGTATATTCGCCGAGTCCGTTGAACGTCAGCAACGCTCGGAAATTGCCGAACAGAATGTAAAGAATCGGGAGTCCGGTGGACAGGATGATAGCATTGATCGGTGCATCGGATCTGCGGGAGGTCGAGGTGTCGTCGTCGTCGGCAGTGTCGTTGCTTGACTCGTTTGATTTGATGCCAATATGCCCAACGAAACCTAAGAACCGGGGAAGCCAGTTCAGATTCGTAGCCGCGACAACCATGCGCCCGGCCACGAAGGAATTTCCGAGAAGCGAGCCGGCAACAACCAAGCAGATTATAATTGCAGCGAGGATACCAAATCCACGGCCCAGGAGAAGGGTGATGGCAGTCTGGAATGTTAGTACTTGTTTGTTCCGGTTCACAGGCGATGACTTACCACGGCCACGCTATCGGTCGTCGCAACCACATTCCATGGAAGGAGAATATAGTATGCTGCATTTGCTGCGATGAAACAAAGAATGATGATCGGAACTGCCGTATTGATGGCCAAAGGGAGTTGACGGGCCGGCGCCGACAATTCCGCCGACACGTAGATGGCCTTGATGTGTCAGGTCGGGACTAACTTCACGTCGCATAGACTCAACGTACCTTATCCCAGCCAGAATAAGCCCACAGGGCGCCATACAGCGCCGCTGAGTAGTGGCCCAGGATTTCCCAGCCGTGCAATTGGCTCCAGTCAATCAGACTTCCGTCGGGGGTTACGGTGTCCCTGAACCCGAACCACGGTTTGGTGTGCCAGTCCCTTGGTCTGGCATCGCGATTGATTCCGGACAGCTGAAGGATGACCACTACAATTCCGGCTATCACGATGGCTCCGATGGCGATAAACTTGGTCGTGACGAAGAAGCCGTTCAATCGGGTGCTAACCTTGGTACTGATCGAGTTGGCCACGCTGACCGCGACCAGCACCAGAATCGATAATATCTTATGGCCGATGCTGCCCGCCTGATCGGTAACGCCAGCTGCCGAAAAGATACTCTCCACAAAAACAATGCTTAGAATGGCGAGTGTTGCCGGCATCACGGCCACGATCCAGGTCCATGCCGCCAGGAAGCCGAAGACATCACCAAAGATGTATTGCAGATATGGCTGCACTCCACCTGTTGCACCGTGAGACCATAGATCGGGCGAATGAGATGAGATGGCAAGCACGAACCTTCACCGGGGATTGCAGTCCCCAGCTCCGCCATCGTACTGGCTCCCGTCCAAGCCAGGATTCCGCCGACCAGCCATACGATGAGTGCGGCTCCTGGCGATGGAACATTGGTGTCGATGGCACCCGGCGACGTGAACACTCCGCTTCCGATCACAATACTGATGACGATGCCAAATGCTTCGATGGTGCCTAGATTGCGTGCGAACGAGCGGCGCTCGGCCGGTCGCGTAGACCCGGGCTCGGACGTTGCTCCGTATTCGGGCTCTGCACCCCCATCCAGGAGGGGCCTTTCGGCTTCATAGTCGGACGGTGTTTGAGGAATTGACATGATGAAGCGATGGAAGTGAGGGTAGAGGAAGAGGAGAAAGGAAGGGGGATGAGCAGCGAGGGGAGTCGGTCAGCGAATCACGCCATCGGCATCGCATCACGCGTTCCCCGCACCTGCAGGCTGCAGCCAAGACTCGCGGTCTTCTCTCTTAGTCCAGAATGTAGTTTGTAGTACATTCGAGTACGACTCTTCTGCCACCGAGGAGAGTGATTCTCATGAAGGGGGAATCCCCTGGCCATAACAGGCTAGACTGCCAAGACGGATGGGTACTCTCATCGGGCCTTTCTCGGGTCCATGAAGAGTTCATCTTCATAACTATCATGGATGTCCCCGTCGCGGCCAATGTCCTAGGCACCATCGGTGCGGTGAGTCTGTCTTTTATCCTCTCATCATCTTCCCGAATCGAGTTCACTGACAATTCACCCAGGTATGCTGGTCGATTCAGGTATGTTACCGTGAGTGCTTGTTGGAGGTGGACACCAGCCTGACGCCATATCCATCCACTAGCTACTCCCACAAATCATCATCAACTATCGACGTCATGATACCGAGGGTCTACAGCCGTCGATGATGTTGCTGTGGGCTGCAGCCGGCGTGCCGCTCGGCGTGTATAACATCGTCGAGGAGTTCAACGTCGCTCTTCGCATCCAACCTCAGATCTTGACAGCTCTCAGCTTGCTCACCTGGGCGCAGTGTCTATACTACGGCAAGGTGGGACCCCATTTTGTCGTGATTCTCAACTCCCTGACTGACGTTCTCTAGAAATCTTCCATTCCGAAATGCATTGCAGCCGTGGTTCCTCTGCTAGCCGGACTAGGCGGTATCGAGGTAGGACTGGTCTTTGCCCTGAAGGCGGCCAGGAATCGTGATCTCGAATGGCCCATGATTTTGATGGCCGTGCTCAGCGCGTGTCTCCTGGCCGCCGGCGTTCTCACCCATTACTGGGACATCTATGTCCACCGGACGGTGCGAGGGATCAGCTTCTTATTCGTTGCCATTGACGCGGCGGGAGACTTGTTTTCGCTTGTGTCTGTCTGTGAGTATCTTGTTCGAGCGACCGAGGAGTATTGCTAATCATCCACGCCAAGTATTCGAACCGACCATCGACGTTCTCGGAATGGTCATATATGGCACGGAGCTGGCACTGTGGATTGGTGTCTTTGTATGCGGCGGCGTCTTCAATTTGCGACCTTGGATTCAGAGTCGCAGGAAGACGCGCAATGAACAGGAACAGGAATCTGAGCCCGTGTCCTTACACGAAATGCCGTCTTCCACTTCGGTCTTCCGGACGGCTTCGGGGTCGGATGTCGTTGCTAGGAGAGCGCGACCCAATGTGTCCGAATCTTAATCCCGGCTGGCTCTCCATGAGGCCCTATTTAAAGATAGAATCTGTAGAATCTTTTTTGTGTCATGATCGACCTGCGCAGACAGAATGACGGGCCGACCGTGACCAGCCGGAAAGCGTCCGGCGCCCCACCACTTACTTCCCTTAGGTACCGTAGGTTCTCTCTCCCCCGCCACCCTCGACCACCCGAGCAATTCCCCATCCCTTCATCAACGCGCAACGCGTGTGGATTGCGACCATGAGCGAGCTCGACCACGGAACATCACAGGTGCTTCGGAAGTCGTTCGCCTGCGATGAGTGCAAGCGACGCAAAGTCCGCTGCTCCGGGGATGAGAATTGCTCCAATTGCCTCCGAGACGCCAAAGCATGCCAGTACACCTCCCCATCGCAACGGCTTTGGTCGCTTCAGCGGTAGGTCTTCTAGAGTTTCAGCTGGGCTATAAAAGAAGCTAATAGTTAGGTTCAAGGTGTCTTCAAGCATCGGAGAGAAATCGAAAAGAGATGGAAAATGCCTGGAAAGTATATCTTCCCACGGTTGATCTGCAAGAGGCAATCCGTAGCACACGGGGAAGCCCCTCCGATACGGCCGCGACCGTGAAAAGGAAGCGCAAGCTGAGCAACGAAGTGGAGCATCCCACCGAGCAGATCTCGACGGGCATCACGGAGCACAGCAATGCAGAGGACTACGAGTTTGACGAGTCGCAAGACTTTGACAACTCGATTGACGGCATGGGATTCCTAACCGTCGATCCGCACAAGGCAGGCTATACGGGCCCCCAGTCTGGCATCGCCGCCTTGAAGTTTCTGCAGTCGCTTCCGCTCTACCTCCCGTTGAATAGCATCAACACTCCTTCGTCGCTAGATGAGGACGGTCTCCCGATCGCATCTCAGCCGACCGAGGTAATAAATCGCTATATCGATGAGTACTTCTCTCTCTACCACCCCGCCTATCCTATTCTCCATGAGGGTACTTTCCGTGCTCGAGTATCGGGTATGTCTCCCAGCTTTGATCATTCCGGAAACGCCCTGACGACCGGTAGGCGCGCTGGCAAAGCCCAGAGATGGTTCTTGGCCCTTACTGTATAACACTGTGCTTGCAATCGGCGCCTTTGTGGGCGACTCCAATGTGACAAAATGTGATATCCCATTCTATCAAGAAGCGCGTCGGCACTTGACCATGGACGTCTTAGAGAAGGGGTCTTTGAGTTATGTGCAAGCCATTACGCTACTCTCGAATTACCTACAAAAGCGCAACAAGCCAAACGCGGGGTTTATTCTTATCGGCATTGGTTTCAGCATGGCCCTTGCTATAGGGTTGCACCGGGAATTTGCCATGCCGAGCACATCACCATTCACAATGGAGATCCGTCGACGGGTGTGGTGGACACTGTTCGTTTTTGTTTCCGGGGCACAGTTGACACTAGGAAGGCCTGCAGTGTCTCTGGTTGGTGTGAACATCAGACTGCCTGCGAACTTGGATGACCATAACCTTGCTGTTGATATGGAAGAATTGCCAGACTCGAGACCAGAATCAACAATAACTTCCTGCTTGATCGCTCAGATCAAACTCGCCAAGATTGCCAACGCCATCCAGGTAGAGCTTCTAACGCACTACCGACCTACCTACGATAAGGCTGTAAAGCTCGAGGAGAATATCGCGCATTGGTGGAAAGACCTACCACCCTACTTTAATCCGGATGTGCACCTGCGACCGCACCTTGAGTTGTCAAAAAGGGTGCTCATATGGAGGTCTTTCCATCTACGTATCGTTCTCAATCGGCCATTCCTCTTTGAAGCTATAGCCACAAGATCAGAAATCAATACAAGCGCAGGACCTGTCAAATCGTGTCTCGCGGCGGCAGACGAATGCGTTATGTCTATTTGCGGATTCCTGGACTCCACCGAAGATAGAAAAAGGGGGATAGCTTGGTACGCCACGTACTGGTTGATTACAGCAAGCTTTGTCCAGGCGACCTGCTACATATACTGTCCTTCGCATCCGCTAGCCCAAAGCTGGAAGGGTCATTTACAACAAGCGGTTAGCTGTCTGGGGAGTCTTGGAGCCTCGCACGACATGGCGTTACGCGCTCAGAATATTTTACAAAAGCTTCTTGGTAAGGATTTCTCTCTTCTGTGCTTGATCGGAGTGGCTAACAATTACCAGAGCAAGGGCACGAGCAAGACATGGGCGAAGGGTTCGGCGAAAACCTCACAGCTACCCCCTTAGGATCATCCGCGGTGCCCCCTGCAACATCTCAAACTCAGGCAATATATAACCCGTTGTCAATGGGGCTGGAGGATAGTCTGACATGGTATCCGCAAGGTTCATCCAATGCAGAACTTTTGGATGCGGCCGGTGGTTTCATGATTCAGAACCTCTTTGAGGGATCCGAAGATTATACAGGAGCCCCGTGGATGCCTATTTAACCTAAGCTTTTATAACGACAGTCAAACTAAGACGAACCATCCAATATGAGCCATTGAAAGATGGCCCTCTGCCCTGAGGATCTTGGCCTATCCCATGATCTTCAAGGGCCATATCCTAGCCGGTCGGATATCCATGCGGATGTACTACACCGCAGGATTTGAGACAGAACGGGTCACGCTGGTAAATGATAAATATATTGTAAGACAAGGATCTCTATCCACCGGCCAAAGGCCCCATGAAATGGATGATCACACATGCGCATGGAAGCTATAAGGTGCACGTCTAATCTACATGCTCCGCGCTGGGCGAATCCCGGGCCTTGGAAGGAACCACGCATTGAGTCTGCTTTGCGTTCCGCTGCACCTCTGCGTCTTCATGCTCGATAAACCGGAGTGGGCGTTTTGTCGAAACAGCATCCGAATCACTGACCACAATCAGTGGCGGATTCGTACGATAATAAGCGTCAATGTCTTCCAACGTCCGGTTTGCTATATCACGGTCAGTATAAAGATAACTATATCTTAGCGGAATCGATAATCAACGAACCTGTCTCAGGATACAAGAAGTAAATTGTCGGCAGAAACACCGCGTTCATAATAGTCCACACGATCCAGAATCTCCATCCTATGTTTTGAATTCCAATGGGTGTGATTTCCACGATAGCGAAATTCGTGATCCTTCATCATAATACATTAGTTCACGGGGAATAATTGGTTCCAAGGGCACTTCGAGACATACCAGTTTGTCGCCGTCGAGACTGCCGCTCCCTTAGTCCTCATTGACAACGAGTTGATCTCAGTCGGATACAACCAGGGCACGCCCAGCATGCCGATTCCAAATGCCACATGGTACAAGAAGAAGAAGGCGACCGATGCAGTGGCATATACTCGATCCTTTTCGGCAAGGCTAAGGAGAATGGTAATAACCAAGAACGAAACAAACTGGCCGAAGCCAGACAGCATCATCAATCCTCGACGGCCGAATCGTTCCACCATGGTGACGGCCATGCATGAGAAGAAGAAGTAGGATGTTGCATTGCAGGCTGTCAGTAGCCGGGACATGCTATTCGAGAGCCCAACCGAGTTGATGAGGACCAGGGGGAGGTAATAACTCATGATATTGATTCCTGCAAGACATAGTTAACTCCCGATAAAAGAAAAACTGCGATTGTGGAACACTCACCTTGGAATTGCTGCATCGCTTGTGTCCCAGCCCCGAGAAGCAATCTTCGGAGGGTCTTGGTACCGTCAGACTTGGTTCCCCGCAGAAGATCGCGCCACCGAACAGCTTCTTCCCGCTCATACTGGATACTGAATTTTATCTCGTCATGCTGAGTGGTGATATATGGGTCGTCGACAGCCTTGGCCTCAATGCATGCGAGTACTTGAAGTGCCTCGTTCTTGCGATCATGAGAAATCAGCCACCTGAAAGCATGCGTCAGAATGTTCCGTCGTTTCGCATAAAATAAGAGCACATATACCTAGGAGACTCAGGAAGCCAGGGGATGGTAAAGAACAGCACGAATATAAAGAAGAATTGCAGGGCAATCGGCAAACGCCACGCGATGGCTCCTTCGTGGAAGGATAGGCCGTAATTGATCCAATTGACGATGCAATAGCCGCCAACATTCAGCCCGAGTTCAAAGATAACCAATTTTCCTTTCCATTTCGCCTGCGCTGTTTCGGTCTGCCAGATGGGCGCTGTTGCTGTATTTATGCCGTTGCCAATCCTGCGCAGTGTCAGCATCTTTCAATTTTGGATGCAAAAGAAGGTGAACTCAATGGCACTGTTTACTTACCCCAGCACAACCCGACCCACAAACATTTGCGCCAAACTGTACGAGGATACCTGAAGAATAGTGCCGATGGCCATGATGGCGGTCCCCAGCAAAATGCATTTCTTTCGGCCCAAGCGGTCCCCGACGGTAAATGCCAGAATGGCACCGAGAAAGCAGCCAACGTCATAGATGGCGGTGACCGTCGAAAGTGTCTTTGTTTTAGTGGGGCCGACCAGATCATGGAGTTCGAGAAAGTCCTGTGTCACGACAACGCCGCCTGGAGATGGATGTTAGTCGAAGAAGCGACGAGGGAAAGGAGCGACGGACTGAAGACTCCTTGATCGTACCCAAACAAGGTCATGTCGGTGCCACAGGCAACCTGCAGTTCATCCCCAGAATGTCAGAAAAACTCCAAAGGCAGTCAAGGATGCTATACACTCACCGTCAACCAAAATGTAAGCCATCCTCCGGTCAGCCCGAAGTACGGCTTCTTTGCGGATACCATCGTGCAAGCTAATAATCTGGAGACCGAAGCGTACGGCCAAAGTCTCTGGAGAGAACATTGCGAATGGCACCGGCTCCCACCGGTCTTATACCCTCTCCCATTTCAATTCGACCCAGAAGGGGCAAACAAAGTGAGTGGCCTGACGGGTTGCATCCCGGACTAGACACTAGACCGATCCGGAATGCGGGGGAGCCAGACCGTGGGGGAACAAGATGCCGTTGATCGGCTTGAAACCCAATTGAAGTCATGCGATGAAGACTCATTCAATCCGGTTACCGTTCCACCCAGTAACCGTCGCGTTCTTGTTCGCAATTGGCGGAATCCCGCTGCATACTGACGCCCAATCCGACTTGGTTCGGGATAGCAGTGGGGGTGCAGTGCGTCATGCTTGATGGCCGACAATCCGGGGATGCCAAGATCCTTCCCCTTGACCAATCACGGCGTTTCCCCCGAGATTCCCCCTCATTAGCCCCATTCGGCCGGGTTATAGTAAGTTATGCCCTCGAACCAAACAACAAACAACAAACACAGGTCCGGCTCTTGGGGATCATCACGAGTCTACTACTGTCTATGAAACCTGAGCGAGAACAACCTTGGAAACTAGTAGTGCTACTTTGAGTTTATTCATAGCCCCGAATAACTATATTCTCACTAGTCCACATCATCAGACCTAGTCTACTTCACGCGTTGTCATGAGCCGAGCCCTCAATGGCTGACATGATCTTCTCTTCGTTAAGCAACCCTTTCTCGGTCACCACATCCAAGAATGGTCCTTTTTCTGCTAGTGCTGCGCGCACGATGGTCGAAACTTGCGCATAACCAAGAGTAGGCGGTGTCGCTACCGGAAATAGCAAGGGCCACTTGACACACCGCGATAGGAATGACCGGGTTCACCTTCCCCGGCATGATGGAGGATCCGGCCTGGACTGACGGTAGTGTGATCTCGTTGATCCCGCCATTAGGACCGGACGACAGTATGATCAAATCGTTGGTGATCTTCCACAGAGAGTTTGCAGTATTGCGCAACTCCCCTGAAAAACGTGCACACGTGTCCATGTTTTGCATGCCGTCGAACGCGTCACTAGTTGGTTGTATCTTTGCGTTGAATAATGCTGGCATATGCCGGAATACTGCGGCTTTGTACCCTGGCTGTGACCCAAACCCAGTCCCAATGGCTGTCCCTCCTAAGGGAACTGTCAGAAACTGCTCGCGAATTGTCTCGAGCTGCTCTGCATGTCGTCGGACGACCGCCCCGTAGCCTCCAAACGCCTGACCAAGGGTCATAGGCTGCGCATCTTGAAGGCAGGTCCTCCCGAGACGAAGAACCGATCTGTATTCCTCACGTTTTCTCGAGAACGCTTCGGCCAGCTGGCGAAAGGTACGTAGAACCCCCTTCATGGCATCATAGACAGCCAACTTCATGTCCTCACAACATGGCCTCTGGATGGGTGAGGGCCATCGGTCTCCCGATTGAGCTCCACAGTCAGTATCGGCCGCTACGGCCTGTGTCGGGGATATGATTGGCTCCTTCGTAGATCCGAACTTTTTTATGTGAAGATAGAATCGACACCATTCAGAGAAGCGGCGGTTATCATATACTGTATCGCAGCAGAACCGGGCAGTAACTTCAACCCGGTCATCATTTAAGAATATATCACGAATCGGTTTACCCCGTACACCCCGATGGCTTACCGGATCTTAGCCCGAATGAAGGAGTGCTTTCTGACCGTAGCAGCCGAATGGACCCACCGGAATGGTCGCCATGCCCTAACTTCACCCTTGAGCTATCTACCAGGCCGCAGTCATCTGGATGTTGAAAGATAAGAAGATAGGTTAGCATTACCTACAAAATTCATCGGTTAGAAATTAATCTATGGTCTTATTCCTTTGGTAAGGTTGGTTCGTTAGCTTATCCCTGGGGAAGGGCTTACGTGGACCTTTTGTAGCTTGAATTTTCACTAGAAATATAATTGAGTGTCAAGAACAATGGATCGCCAAGCAAACAAAGTGTCTATATCACAAAAAGGAAAAAACAAACGAGAGAGAAATTCCAGATGTAACAATATCGCCGCTCAGGTCCTTGCCCAGGTACAAGGACTGCCACCGACTTCATACTTAACGGTTTGGGTAGTAGTATCACCAGAGGTCGTGGTCGGCAACGCATCCCCCCCCCCCCCCCCCCGAAGATGAGGAAGATATGGAATGTATCACTCAGTACCCCCTGCCACTGAATATCCTGCCGGAACGATTTCCCTTCCTCGTATGTATGATCCTCAAAGTTAATGCCGACTACCCTTCCATGAACGAGGAAGCGGCAGGCCAAACCTCGAAGGCAACCCAGGAGCGCATGCTGGTAACGCTGCTCCAACCGACATAGTATTTGCGCTCGAAATACAAACTCGGTGTCGTCTGGGAGCGGCGGCTTTGTGGAATAGTCGACACAGATATAGAAAAGCGATGCAAGCAATGCCTCTGCCACACCCCGCAGCTGCAGCTGACCGATTGGACCATGAAAGAAGCGTGTGGCTTCATCGTCCATTCTATCCACTACGCCGGTATCCGCCATAAAGGGCAGAGTGCCTGACAACTTCATATCCAGCCTATGATGGCGGCTCCAGGCATCGTCGTCGAGGGTCGCGTAGTACGTTTGCCATAGAAGATCGGCGTCGAGCTTGCTTTCGTAGGAGTTAATGCATCATTTCAGCCAACCATGCAAAACGAACTGGGATACTGGATTCTTTTCGGCGATGCGTCCTTCGGCGGAGCCTGTTCCGATGCTCAGCGCAATATCCACCTTGGGTCCCCCGGCCCACAGAGACGGCGCTTCCTTTACGGCTAGTTCGACCGGATTATTGTGGTTCATTCCTCCGTCCTGGAATGCATGGCCATTACTTGTTCTGTAAACTGGGAAGATGGAAGGCGCAGCGGATGTACATCGTGCTCTGTAGAGAAAAAGCCAGTAACAGTTAGAACTCTAAGGTGAAACAAAAGAAGACAAGAAGCAAAAACATAAATTGCGCGAGAAGATGAATCTACGCTTCCCAGACCTCTATCTCCTCGTCCATATCGTCTTCTCGGTATATAGATAGAGTTTGGTCATCTTGTAGAGTCAGTTCGGGGCGTCCGAGGTATCGAAAGTCAACTTGCCTTCCTTGTGTATCTTGCGATTATAGTTTGTCATAAAAGTTGTATGATTGCCAATTGCATTTACTGCAGTAACGCAAACCTTCAGATCTCTCATGGTAGTCTCAGAGCCACGAACTTCCCTTGCGCCTTTAAAGGGTTCACTAAAGAGGAACCGGGGCTCAGTATCAGTGGGATCAAACGCATTTTGCAGTGCTTTTTCGAAGACAGATGCATCATAGTAGCTGTCCGACATTTGACTGAGGAAATACCCGAGAACAGGTATTTTACTGGAAATGTGCTTTTTGAAAGATTCTTTGGGCAGTTTCTTGAAGGCCTCTAGACTCCTTCGAGCCAACCACAGATTCGCACCCAATGCGAGGGAGATGATACCTCCTGGAACAATATTAGCTTATTCGTACTACAGTTTGGTTGAAACAAAAATGGTAGAAAAGATTGCCAATGCCAAAAGAGAAAACTTACCTGAGCTCGTCCCAATAATGACGTCGAAGAAGTGGAGTAATGGTAGGCCTAAACCAATTTGTTCTTCCAGTATCTGCAGAATCCGCGCAGAGATCACCCCGCGTACACCACCATCGATACTTATCAAAAGTGCCTTAGTTACTTTTTAGAAGGTGTCCTCTTTGCTCTCTTTCCAAATTTAACAACCAGTCCATTTTATTGCGCAGAAATCAGGACAGAAATAGCGAGCGCAAATTGTAACATAATCGGTTACTGCCCTTTTTTGCAAGGTTTGCTCTTCCCACAGACGGGTCTAGGGTTGGCGGGTTAGGATAATCCGTCATGATGGTTGGGTTACCTAACTAAGTAAGGATTGGACGGGAACACGGTAACACCCCGCCAAAATCTACGGAATGTAAAAAGAACAAAAGCAAAAACATACAACAGCAGGGATTCGCTGGTGGTCACCCACCCAACTACTAACCTGCCGGCGTGTGGCTTGTGTGCAGTCAATAGGCGGGTGGGTGCCTCTAAACGGCGACCCTGGCGATCGCCGGCGCCGTCGCGCGAGCTTCCTGGTGCGCTTGAGATAGCACCCGAGTCGCCCGGCGACTCCCGGCGACCGGCCGCGACCTGGCTGACCACCAGGACAGGGAGAACCTATAGTCATTGGTTTATTATTCTGCCTCCTGAAACGGCCGGCTTGAACTAGCTGCGCCTCTAGTTACTTAGGCAATAGAATAATGCTAGACCGCACCCGCACAAGTGAAGAACATGTCGCAGCTGGGGATAAATATTCCCATGTGTATCACTTTTTGTAGCTTTAATATCTACATGCATAGCGAACAATCCGTACGTAAACTAATATGGCTTAGCGTTTGAGGAGTCCTTAAATGGATATAATCATGGGAGTTCCCTTGATACGGTCCGGTGTTATCGCGATTCTTTGAACGCAATAACATTGCTGCTTAGTTTCTGGTTAATTTACCAAGGGAGGTATAACCCCGGGCTGCTATTTGAGGTCCCGAAGATAGTCCTTGCACATCGGAAATAGGGTATCTGGCGGGACTAGCTGCCATCTTTCCACAACGGCTTCTCCGTGGCCTATGCCTGTGAGGATGACAATCCGGACATCCCCCTCTGGCTTGTTGAACCACCATTTGCCTTCGTTTCGTAGCGCAGGCAGTGATTAAGGAAGTCCGGTCTCTATCACTAGAGATAGCCATCCGTTAAGCTGTCCTAGAGGCCTTCTGTGGTATAGCCAGAATAGCTGATCGGGTGATTTTCCGTCTTGTCCGGCTTTACGGGTGCTGCGGCTACCCTAACGGCGGCCAGCCCTTCCAGTACCCATATCGAGCATCTTCTCCTTAATGACACTGGTAAAATCATTAGTAGATAGTTCCGAGGGGCCTGGGATAAGTTTAAGTAAAGCTGTATCGCCAGATCACTGGATCCGGTAACTGATGTCTGGAGGATTATGAGCATCATCGAGAAGGTTGATGGCCCATGAAGGTACCCCAGACACAATAAGGAATTGATTTCCATAAAGGTTATTGTTAACGAGTCTGTCAACAATCCGACTGGCCTGCACTTGTATACCTATGATCATTCCGGAGAATTCAATAGCGACGTATGAAGAAGGAAGATAGTCTATCATGCTGTATAACTAGTCCAGTTAGATAAGCCATTTTGCCACACTGACCGGATGAACAAGAAGAGCATGCTACCAGGAGAGCAGAAGAAAGGGGGCAGGGTTTATCTACGCTCATACGATAGGGATTCCGGCACTGGAGAATAATAACGTCATAAGTGTCAAACAGCCATGTCATTTCCGATTTGCTCGACCTAAGAAACAAACAATGCATCATCCACCACGTTCTATGGTTCGACCCAAAGAATAGAAACCGAATTGCCTTCCTTTCAAAAACAGACGCTGTCAACCAAACTTCGATTGGCATATCCTCCCGAACTCGGTGGCTGTGATAGAAAGGTCGCTCTCGTGCGGCCGAGGTAGCCTGTCCATAACAGCATGAAAAGGTAGTATCATAGGCGCACCTTCCACCCTGTTCCTCCAAACGGTAACCTCTTGCACTGAGACAGCCTGCTGAGAAGCCGCCGGCTGCTGAACCAATGGCGGCACGTGAGGAACCTGCTGTCTAATGCTGAGCATATAAGCTCGAGGGGGTGGGTTCGGGGCATTTGGCGGCAATAATATCCATTTTCGGAACTCGACCGCGTTTGTGAGGATCTTGATGGTTATGATAATCCGTACTTCCCCGCGTGATTCTCCAAACCATGTGAGCACGTCCTGTTTCAGACGCTGACGGGACTCAGTATTACCTGTCTCGATTACCAGTGTCGGCCATCCGGGTGGGCCGCCAAAGGGCCTCCGAGGGCCGGGGCAAAGAACGTTATCGCTTTCCTTCCCTTTGATGCCCTCCGGCCGCTTGAAATAGGTCGATCCGCCCCATGCTGCCTCGAATGTGGAGACACCCATAAGCACAAGTTTGCCAACCAAAACATTAGACACATGCATCGTGCAGAAATCGTAATTATAACCCGGGACAACTTTGATCAAGACCGTGTTACCATCAACCTGCAAACGAAAAGGAACCGATTCTAGGGAACGCCGGTTGTTGATTAAACGAGTAATTGTCTCGCTTGGGATATCACGGATGAGGATGTACTGATTCCCTTGGCCGCCATTTTCGTTCAAAGTATCAAAGACAGTGATCATACTGTCCCCTATGCCCTCCCACGTAGTGAACGGGATATTAACATGATTTTTTGGCAGGCCCTTGGCGATTAGATAACTACCGGAGATCACTTCCATTCCTCGAAGACCTGTAGACGGACGGGCTACCGCGCTGAGACCCTCGGATCGGAAAACTTCCATTAGAAAAGGCCTCTTAGAACTTCGCTTAGAAGGAGAGGATAGGAGACGGGATGGGTTGCAGGAAAGGAGATGGATGAAGGGAAATTAAAGGCTCAGAAGAACGTTAGATAGGAGAGTTTCCGTTAGCAAAGGCTGCTAAGCACTCTGCTCGGAAAGAGAGGATAGAAGGCGGAATGACTTCTAGAAAAGCAGATAGATAAAGGGAAATCGAGGACTTAAAAAAGAACGAACGGACTGACGGGCGAAGATTGTAAACAAAAAACGAAAAAACGAGGAAGAAAGAGGAATAGGAAAGAAATGAGAGGGAAGGAGAAATAAGGAAGGAAAGCCAGGAAAGGAAAGAGCGGACAGGTAAGGTAGAAGGGAGTTTACCTACCAGGATTGGAATTCTGTTATTTTGATTTACTATAGACTCTATGTTCCTTATAGAGAGTATATTAATGACAAGAGAATTTTAAGTGGGAGAAGATCAACCCCTTTCAAATAGAAGATGCTTGAAGAGGGGAACCGTAGGAGTGATAACTGCAAAATTACGTGGTTGTTCGGAATTTCCGAAGTCTAAAGCTTCCGTGGCATCTTTCTCCTACACTTCCTGTTTTCAAGCCAAACAATGTACTCCTGCCAGGCTACCACTCCAGACGAACGCAGAGAGATATAAGAGACAGTATTTCAGGATTCCATAACAGTAAACACTTACAAGTTTCTATTTGACCTCTTGCCCTGTTATTCACTCTTTCTACCACTCCTATCCCCGAATCACTGTTTTTTTTCTCTCCCCGTCGACTTCGCGCAATAGACATCATCCGAAGTCTCTACAGTATTGAAAATGGACTTCCGGCGAATCACCCTCATTTCCGTTTTACCAGCCTGGAAAAGCTGGAAGATGCGGTAACTATTGTGTTCGACCGACTTCGGGAGAATAGAGGCCGGGGAAACCAGTTCTTGTTGGTTGACGACGTTCCCAAAGACACCATCGAACTTATAGCGAATAATAGGAATGCCCTCGGCTCGATCCCGTTCCGCATCGAATGGTTCAATGGCAAAGCCTTAATAAAAGTTGTACCCGGCTATGATCACGAATCCATTAACTAAGCCTTCTCCTCCCGAATCGATAGAATTTGGTTGTCTGCAAACCCAGACGAGGGGCGATGGGGGGGATCGAGCCACTACGCCTATACGGGGGGCGGGAAACAAGGTGATTAAATATTTTGGCTGGCAAGCCGAGAGCCATTCGGTAGAACTTAGCCCGGATGGCCCACCCTCGTGGTCGAGACCGGTGTGAGTGATTCACGGCCGCGCCTCATGGAAGATACCAAATGCTGGTTTTATAAATCCCATGACCAAGTCCGCATTGTTATCACGATCAAAATCTTGAGGCATAGCGTGGAAATGAACAAATGGCAGCTATTGCCTCCAGGGGCACCGAATCCCGCCCCACGCCAATACGTTGCGAACCTGCAAACCCAACCCAGCCTTATGCCCCCTCTTGCCCAGCAGCCAGCAGCCAGCCAGCAGATCTTCTTACTGCAGCAAGTTATCGTCACTCGAAATGGTGTTCAAGGTACGCCACTAATCATCCTATTTTCCGCCCTTATGGATCGACAGCCCCGGCAGAATGAAAAAGACATTGCTTTCACCGCTGCGGATATCCTTTGGTTGACTCGTGTTGTGGCACTTTGATAAGGCTCGAGTGTCTTGGATGCTTTAAAAATGGTAGCATTTTGGCTGCTTCTTATGAAATGATCGGCGCTGTCTGGTCCCTTGTACCTGTTGTCCGGTTTCGGTTTTGGTCTCGGTGAAATGTTTATCTATCGCCGCTGGATTGGCCGACTCTGATCACCTTTTTTGCCTGCGAACCTCCTGAACGACGGCTAGGCTGCGGCATGACCACGGTTAACCGCGGTTAGCCATCACCATAACTACGCGGTAAGGTGATAGTTATGAGATTCTTGTAGCGAAACCTACGGTTTGTCAGAGGAAGCTGGTACAGAATAGAGAGAACTAAGTGAACATTGACTGAGTGAGCGAGCTCGTGGACTTAGTTAGATAACAGAAAGATGATAGATACACGTGTACAACTCATATAGCCCCTCACTAGTGGAATATCACTTATTCCAATGCCGAGCGCTTAACTATATTCGTAACACAGTAAGATAATAATTATAGCTAGGCTATAATCGTGATATGTAAGGCACAGAGTACGTTTGAATGTACGGTGTATTGAACTAACAATGAGATGCACGGAGTGCAAAAAGTGCAGCGCTTACAGCGCTGCATTTACGGAGTTTGTGGGTCATGTGACTGTATCACGTGACCCCAGGGGTCAGGTCCCTGATGTTGTGACGAACTGACCAAGGCCTACTATATAGAGCGATGCGCATACCAAGTCTTCGACTTGGTATTCTGGTCTTTTTAGTAGCTCAGTTGGTAACTGTCCTACTAAACGGTCTTGGCGGGTAGAAGCGCACCTACCACTGCCAAGCCCGTAACAGATGTTATCTCCTGAGCCAAGGACTTCCCGATACGGACTTCCGATACGAACTTCCCAGTACGGAAAACCCTTCCTGAATGCATTCCTGCCTGAGGCAGAGCCTCAGTTAGTACATAGAGGCCCTAGATCCTCGCTCCTAGATAGCCTTTCCTCTCCATGGGAAAATTCCTTGACTACGAGTCATAAACAAACTAGTCTTTTACTAGGCTCCTTTGTAGACCGTCACATGTAGACCGTCACATTAGGTCTGGTCAGCGACTTTACTACTAATATTATAAACGATTATATTCTCTTACTGGGGGACTTTAACCTTTACTACCCTGCCTGAGGCGGTAAGAATGCCGCCCGAGATACCCTTTCTAACCAGTTACTTAATTTAAGCGATAGAATGTATTTAGATCTCTGGCTAGAGCCGGGCACTATCACCAGAGACGAAGCCGGAACAAAGATCACGATTGACCTAGTCCTCGGCTCGCAGGACCTGACTCCTAGGCTCGTTACCTATGAGGTCACTGAAAAGATTTATACAGATTCCGATTACCTACTTATTGACATTTAAATCAAGATTTTATAGGCGCAGCGGCACCGCAACTGGAAAACGTACAAAATAAAAGATCTGCAGACTTTTGTAGACCTGAACATATACAGTACGGCCTTTTTACTTAAAAATAAGCAATACATTGAACTCGCAATAGAGTTTCTTATTAAAACGGTAAATTAAGGAATAGTAACGTTTATCCCGTAAACACAACTAAACAAGTGGGCGAACCCGTCTTTTACCCCGGAATGCTAAAAGATAATAAAGATCATTCGTAGATTCAGGTGTATATATACCGAGACCTGCATAACTATGGGCCCTATCAATCCCATTACGGGGCTGGTTTAAGACCGCTATGCGAAAGTTAGAAACCGCAAAAGAAAAGTGCTGGCAAGGGCCCTACGGCAGAGACACCGGATCTAAGTCAGAAAGGCTACCGAAACAGGCCCCCGAAGCATGTAACGCGTAACTAGATAGGCTAGGAACCGGGACGCCTCCGGGGGACTGGTCCCAACACTGAAAATACCAGATAACGGTCTTGCAGAGACTGTAGAACAGAAAGTTAAAGCATTCTAGAAAGCCTTTTTCTATTATCTATCTCTCGCAGACCTTTCTGATATCCTTACGACCTCTTTATCTCAGCAACTTGATTTCCCGGATTTCGTTGAACACGAGATACTGCGCTGCATCCGAAAGGCGCCTTCTGACAAGGCCCCCAGGCCTAACGGCATTCTTATTAAGGTCTAACACTGATTAAGTAAGGTTTTTTCTTTTGTAAAAACGTTTACGGATATCTTTAATGCCTGTATCCGACTTAAGTATAACTTCAGATACTTTTAGCAATCTATAATAGTTGTCTTCTGTAAGGTCGCGCCACGGGATTATTGAGTCATTAAATCCTACTAGTCTATTGCTCTCTTGAGCACATTTGATAAGATTCTAAAGGCAGCTATCGCTACCCGCATAGCCTACGTATTAAAAGAATATAGTTTACTGCTACGAGAGCACCTAGAGGGACGCAAGGGTATCTCTATTAATTACCTGATTTAACTACTGATGGATACTATCTTTGATAGCTAAGACTGAAACCAGAAAGTAAATATACTCCTGCTAGACGTAACAGGGGCCATTTATAATATCTTTTATATCCGGCTACTGCATAATCTGAAGATAGCACGACTAGAGCATTTTGCCGGATAGCTAGAGTTATTCCTTTTAAACTGATAGATACGGCTTTAACTATCCAGCTACCTAAACGGTATCATTTTTACCATTACAGGGGTCCTTTAGGGATCCTCTATCTTTCTGATCTTTTTTTTCTCTTCAATACGCCCCTTATTTAGGCATTAAAAATTAATACTGTTGAGAGTATACGCATCTAGCTACTGCTCTCAGGCAGAACTATAATATTCGGCTGAATTAACGATACTTGTACGATCGCTATTTCCGAGTTTTACGCAGTTAATCAGCATTTACTAGAGTGGGCACTCAATAAAGCTACTATATAATCCTGATAGCATTTATCTAGGTTCGCGCCGGATAAGTTCGAATTGATACATTTCCGGAACCCGTTGGACCCTGATCTTGGGGCCGAGAGAGATACCCCCTGTGATTACACAGAACTATAGAAGGGAAAAGACCTTATTAACGTTAACTGGGGGAACAGGAGCGCCTGAGAGGTTCCCGTTCAACTTTAGAGGCATAACTAACTGCTAACAAAGAATTACGCAACGGGCTATGTTATTCGATCAGCAGAGTACGTTAAATATTTTAAAATCTGATTTAATAAGACTGTTTCCTTTACTAATTACTGTACTAAGGCAGTAGCGAAAACGAATACAAACCTTGAAACTCTACGGAATATTTCTGTGTCTACATGAGGTACGTCCCTGCTGAACATGCAGACTATATATCTAGCTGTAATAGTCCTGCAGATGCTCTACAGGGTTGCTGTATAGTATAGCCCTACCAGCGGGCGTACTAAATATGCAAAACGGCAGAAGATTATCAACGAATTCGAACGAATCTAGACGCGGGCAGTAGTACTTATTAGTAAAACATTTAGAAATACTGTTTTTGCAGCTTTAGGGATAAAACCGTTTTTGTTTCCAGTCCGCCTGAACATGCAACAGATGATTGAGGAGGCTGCAATCCGGATACAGATCGGACCGGTTATGGCCTGCCCTGGGGGTTAGTAAGGAAGAGAAGCTCAGCAGAAATAAAACGGTCAGGGTAGTCCCTTATAGAGATACTAAAATGGAAAAAGGGAGGCCCCCTATGGACCGGAGACCGAAGTTTAGCTACGTAGGAGTCCCGAAAGGCGCATATACTTGTCCCATTAAAGCTTCCACTTAACTGCGTGATCGAGAGACCGGATAGCGCAATCCAGGAATATAACAGGATCTATCAGAAAAGCTAGAGGCAAATCTGGTACTCTGACGGCAGCAATTTTAACGGCTACGTAGAGGGTACCGCAGTCTCGAATCGGGCCAGAAAGGTCTGTAAGAAATACTTAGGAGCTGCGGCTGACTCTACTGTATACGTAAAAGAGTTAAAGAGAATTAAAATGGCCCTGAAGTGGGCAGAGGCTGTCCCGATTACAGTCTTTTCAGATAGCCAGGCAGCCATTCAAGCCGTGCAGAACCCTGGCCGACCATCAGGCCAGTACGTACTACGGGATATCTACGAGAGGATCAGGACCCTGAGAGGCAGGGACCCGCAGCAGGGAGATATAGAGCTGCGCTAGATGTCTGCACATATCAATATAGAAGAGAATGAACGAGCTGACGAGGCAGCCAAACGGACCGCAACAAAGAGAATCGAATTAAATTCAGTAGGGAGCTAGTCGCTCGGTCAATCACGAGACTCGCAGCTGCAGCCAAAGACTGACGTCTGCCGGAGAATCCAGGCGCAGCGAATGAAGTGGTAAGAGCGACAACAGATTAAAAAATCTACCAAATGGCTGATTCCGAAGCCGAATAAAAAGGTTTTAAGGATATACGAGGACCTGAGCAAGCCCCAGACCTCTATAATTATCCAGATGCGTACTATGAGGATCGGATTAAGACATTTCCTCTTTAAGATAAAGCAGGTTGACTCCGACCGCTACAGGTATAAATTAGGTTTTTAATCGTTTAAATACGTTCTTATAGAGTGCTCGCTGCACCTCGGCAGTCGGAAAATAATGATGGAACGTCTCGACTCTATCGAGGGACTGCGTAAACATATACAGGACTACGATACAGTCATGAATTACCCGCAGGCGATACGCTACGTCACCGATTTCATGCAACGAACAGGCCTCCTACAACAGTTCCGATTCGCCACGTTTAAAGATAAGGAGGACGAGGAGGTTCCGGAACTTAACACCCTCCTAAAGGGACTCGATTTAAACGAGAAAGGCGATAGTTATATTGAACACTAAGAGCCAGGAAATCTTAACTGGCTACGTAACGCACACAGGAACAGTGGATCCCACTGGAATACTACAGATAGAACGGAGTGGAAGGAGAGAACAGCGTCTAGGGGCGCAGTAGGCACGCGGCAGGCGTATGGCAGCCGGTTTAGTTGTGTTACTTTTAGATCTCTTTTGTCTACTGCATCGGGTTTATATGGCGTACGGGTCGAGATTCTGCTTCATTCGGCGAAGCGCTTGTATAGCCTGTCGTTTCAATAGATAGGCTCCACCAGGTTAACAGAATTTTGATTGATTGATTGATTGATTGATCATGATTTGCAATGACTCGGGCGCTGTAGACCGACCAAGAAAGACATGTCCGGTATTTTTGATAACCAGCCGGAGGTTATGAGTGTTGGCAAAACGGACAGCGCTTGCGACGCGGTCTGAACCTTCGCCGAATAGTGAAATACATCCCCGGTCACAGGTAGTGTTGCGTGGGGATTCGATATAGCTTGTCTGATTACGCTCCGGCCATGCCTCCCAATTCTGCCACTGTACGGCACCGGGCTGCGAGGAGCGCCAAGCCGAGTTCGTCCAACGGGCAGTGATAACCTCGCATGCCTTGGCATTAAATTCGTCATCATGGTGGACCGACGTAGTAGGACGGACTGTAATTAGATTGCCGTGTGTGTGTGTGTGTGTAGAATAGTGAGCAAGGGAGCCAGATTCGACTGGAAAGCATTAATAGGAAGTTGGAAGAACTGGTTGAGAAGGATGTGACTCAGCCTAGAGCAGATGCAGCTGAGCTGCGCTCGCTGAGAGAAGAGGGCTTAAGTACAGAGAAGTGCCTTCAGACCTGCGCCCAGTTGTCGAGCCATATCGATCAGATTCAGCTGATATCCGACGAGGCGCGTTCATCTCGGGGACCAGGTGGAGCTGAAGTGTCACCCGAATCGGTCACAAATGAAGGCAAGAATGCAAAAATAGCTTGGCTGCGACGGCAAAACTCAATAAAAAGGAAACTTGCAGACTAGCTCCATGTAGCTTCACCTTAATGGCAGAAACATGAGCAGAATATTTAACAGACTGCAATAAAAACAGGAATCAACTATCAGATGGCCGCCAATCCAGAGAATATAATACCAAAACCAATAACGGTTTTCTAGAGTCAGATCGCATTCTATGGATGAGGGCGCGAGGAACTTGGACTGGACAACAGTGTCCCAAGAAATTCCACGACGGTCATAGCACCCTGATACCTTGTATTGAGCCTATTTGGAGTGAGGAAAGCTAGACATGTTCAACGGTTTGTCTCGGACTATACATGACTTGCCGCCATTGCGGATTCCATGTCTGCAGTAGCATTATTGCGTTGATGTGCGGCCGCTTGAGAGATGGGGCCTTTGTAAAGATAATGACTACTGTCTTAGCTCAGGCTATTAAATTGCATATTGAGAGATTTAATCGGCGAAGAAGCATTCGTTATCTTGACGTGGTGAACAAGCTCAATTGTAAGTCAACTTAGCTATAACTATTGATTGTTTTGCTGCTTATTGTACATATATACTAGAGCAAGGGCTTCCGAAGTGTCGAATAGTCCCTAAAGCACTAGTGCGGTCCCGACTCTCTTCTTTCTGTGACTGCTCGTGTAAAGCCCGATATCTGATAGATCGACAGTGCTTGAACTCCTTATGTTCGGCTGACGAAATTTGCGAGTGCAGCGTGGGTGGCATAGAATTCATGCTTGGGTTTATAACACTGGTCAAACATTAATGGCTTTGCGCCAGGTACCCAGGTATAGGTGTGCTTATCCGTGAAACCCCAGAAGCTGATATCGGTGATTCCTGCGTTGAGAGCCTCGGCGATGACGGCACTATATGTATCGGTCTCGAGTGCGTCGTCGAGTGTGTGGACATCCATTTCAGCAATGGCCACTTCCAGTCCGAGCGCCTTGTACGAGTTGACTATATCCGTGATGACGCCCGGTTTCGGGGCTGATCCGGGAGGGGTGATGTGCATCTGCAGGGCGACTCCATCGATCGGAACGCCGTCCGCCACGAGATTAGAGACCAGGTCATAGAGTTCCTGACGTTTACCGGGCAGTGCCTCGACCAGGCCTTCGTTGATAAACAGCTTGGCGCCTGGGTCTGCTGCTCTGGCGATACGGAAGGCATTCTCAATGTAGCCGGGACCGAGTACTTTGGAAAAGATATTGTCATTCAGACCACCGCCCTGCGTTTTTAGGGCTTCAGTGACGACGTCCCACCGATCCATCTTGCCATTGTACCGGTGCATGATTGCCTTAAAGTGAGCCCTCATCGTAGCACGAAGAACTGTGGGGTCGGTGATGTTGAGTACGTAGTCGGGGTTACAGCAGCTCGAGATAAGCCCGTGTCCCTTAACTACCATATTGTTGTTTTCCGCGAAGTCGACGAGGCGGTCGAGCGAGGTCCAGTTGTAGTACCCCTTGGTTGGGCTAACGAACGTCCATTTCATCTCATTTTCGGGAGAGAGGCTATTGAACTGGTTGGCAAGGATGGCCGCGAACTCAGGATCATCGAGGTAGGTCGGATTGATAGCCCCGGAGCCGATTAGGATATCCTTTTTGCTTGCCTCCTCCCTCAGCGCGGTGGTACCGGTGCTGGGAAACGCATAGGCTCCTTCGGTAGCGGCGATGAGCGCGGTGATAAGTGTTGCGACAAAGTTCTTCATGGTTCTGGAAGATGATGTGTTCTTCGTATCTTTAGTGCTCAATTGTGTGTGAAATATAAAGTCCGTATCGACAAACTCAAGGGATTTATAGGTGCGAAACTCGATGACAGGCAATGAGATAATACCATACACGTTGTGGGCTGGCCATACTGCGAAGCCTAAGCAGAATACGAGCACGATGGTTCTATACGTATACGAGTGGGCATGCATTCTGATTTGAGAGGCTAGATGTCTTAAAGTCTAATCAAGTGTTGCAGCGCCGGAGCCTCCTCCGGCGGAGCTGTGGTCGTATAATCTTCCTGGGTCTCAGAACTAACCCACTCTCCATTAAATATATGACGCACACGATATCCCACTACAGTATGTAGTTGTGGACTGGCGTGTTCGTATTTTAACTCCCTTCAATAAGAATACGAGTGGGTCTATGGCTTAACCAGTCGGTGGACTGACCAGGTCGTTACTAGTTGCCGGTATCGAAGTGGGACTCCACCGTGTTTCGGCAATTGGGCGCACCACACCGTACAGTCATTTCACATTGTTAGGGCAAGATTTCACTCAGCTATCTTCTTGAGGTATTCCCGTCCACCTAATATGCCTAAAGCAACCGGAGAACGTTAACCAAATTTGAAAAAAAAAAAGACCAACTTTAGCGAAGATTGCGCGAGAGTGTTCCCTACCGCATACTCCATGGCCGACTTCATGATGGAAAAGAAACCCGTACGAACCGCGATAACTAACAATAAGGCCCTTGACGAGTATCAAGATCAAGATAAGGCTCTAGACAAGTGGATTTCTCGGATGTATTATTAGTATCTTCCCGTCCCTCCTGAGATGGCTAGAGACTGGGCAAATCTCGCGCTCGTACGCGCCAGGTCGGATTCACGATTAACGCGTCAGCAAGATGTGAGTATATCGAATCAAAAAAGGGACTGTCAAAGCGTCTTAATTCAGGTCCTATGGTTCAGATAAAAGGAAGTATTAGAAGTGGCTTCATGCAGCAACATTGGTATAATCAGCTTGGGAACCTGATCAGAGACCATACTCCTCACCTGACCTAGAATTTTGATCCATGTGGCTTCCAGCTTGGCCAGCAAAGTGACCTTGAGGTCATTGGCATAAAGGGACACCGCTTCTAAACTTTCTGGGCTCTATTATACCGAAATGGTCGCTGCGATAGTGTATATCGCTGCCGATGGGTGGACAATAGACTCGCTATCTATTTTCCACTGGCGAGAAGTTCACGGACAGCTGGGATCCTGATCTACCACTTGTGTTGGACGGCTATTTCTCTGAAAGAATATATCAACGACGAATTCGCTAAATTGTATGACTTTAGAAATCCCACGAGGCAACAAAAGCTAGGATGGAAAAGGGGAGAAAACTGTGTGTTAATATTAGACGGCCAGGCTCATCAGATTACTGAATGCATACACTTCCGGAAGGCGCCACTAAGGCACCAAGGCAGAATATGGTATCCGCCGCCATATATACGCCTTTGGTAACCGCGATCCTAAGGCCGATAGTCATCCTATCGTTCCTACAGATTCCTCGAGCTCTTTCGAATACTCATATCTATTTCTTACACAGGGCACCGGGCCCGGGACCAGGGACGCCCGTCCACGGCCAGCCTCACCAAACCCGATCGCTACGGGACACGTATTGCTACGATGGCAACACTTAACTCCCAACCAGACGGTCCTTTACAAGCCGCTCTACTGGAAACAACTACAGCAGTCTCTATCAGGGCTGCCGAAGGCCAGAGGATCTTTAGCCCGATAGCAATCTTTCTTGACAAGCACCGGAACCAGTCAGGGCTTGCGCCTCACTAGCGAGGCGCGCTCGACGCGCTCAGCAACGACCTGGCTGATATAGCCTAACGCCATTTCAGTGCCTATATCAGCGGAGTTTCTTCGACCTTGACTACGACCTCCCCTGCCCCTGCCCCTGCTTCTCTTCCCCCGTCTCCCCCTCCATCTCGCCCCCCCTCCGGTCTTGCTCGGTCGACGTACGCAACAGTCACCCAAATAACCAAGATCAAAGGCCCTTCTACGTCTCGGCCTAAGGCCAAGCAAAAGACTATAATCTCTACCTTTAACCAGCAGCCTGACTCCCGCCTCTTTGTACGTTTCCCACCGAACCATCTTGCTAAAAATATGGACGCATACGTTATCTACACTAGCTTCCGTTCCCATCTAGGCACCAACAACAAGACACTTAAGGGTATCCAGTCTATTAAGACAGGATTCGCCCTTTTGCCTTTATCTCCCGAAGCTCTTGCAGCCCTCGAGGCACAGAAAGAGGCTATCTCTACCTTCTTTACTAACTGCCAGATCGAGCGAAACTCTCGCTGGATCTCGTACCGGGTAACAAACGTACTGAGGAAGATCGGCCAACTGAATGCAAGCTAATACTCTTTGATTCCCGTCGATCTGGAGATACTATCAGCTGAAGTAGCTGAAATTACCGGTTTTATTTCAATTGCAGTAACCGAAACTGCCGCTAACGCCTCTGACACAAATACGATTTCTTTAAGCTAGTTTATCAATTTTCCCGAAGAAAGTAAAGCCAAGCTGCCTATACGACTATCTTTATTCGATATAATTACTAACGCCCAACCTTTATCCAGAAAGGTCAAAATATTGCAGTATAACTGTTGCTGGAATTAGTATAATTCCAGATCCCGTGCTTGTAACTTGCGATACCGTCTCTGCGGCTCTACACAATATACTGAAAAAGGTTACACTAATTACTGCGCTGCCGCGGTTTCTCATACCTGCCCCCCAAGATGCCTACACTGTCATGGTTCTCACCCAGCAGATTATGACCAATGCCTTCTCCGGCCCAGCAAGCCAGGGTCTCGGTTCACAAAGGCCCAGCAAGCTGAGACCCGTAAGACCTGTTCTGCAGCCCTCTCTAAGGTACGGACTGAGAGTAAATGCTGCTTCCAGCCTCCAGAAGCTCCTGAAACTGGAACCTCTGGAACCTCGCAAGATCAGGATATGTCTGTTGACAGCTATTCTACAAACTCTTCATTCTGCCCATTCCGCCTAGTTACCCCCCCTTAACAAGGACCAGCAGATTTTCTTTCAGTTACAGCTAGGGCAGTACGTTTTACGATACTACCACTATAGAATCAATTTGGAACTTTTATAAATAAAAAACTATAAGATTTCAGAATTATTAGATAGATTCTCTTTCAATACTTTAGCTGAATGTAGGCTGCCACGAGACAGCTCATGAAATTACCCTATCTCAGGCATATTCCAACAATATCGACATTATCTTGATACAGGAACCCTATATATATAGGGACCATACCCGCAAGATTACAAAAAGACATCCCTCATACGAATGCTTCTCCCCAACTGACAATTGGGTGATAAGCGGCCGACCTAGAGTCCTTACTTACATCCGAAAAGGAAAAGGTATACAGTCTTCTCAGATACGCCTAACTTCAATTGACCAAGAAACATTATCAGATCTTTTTTTACTCCAAATCTCTATACGCTCAGGACAATCTACTCTGATCTTCAATATTTACAATGCTCCCAGTGCTGGATCTTCGATCAGGCCTGGTAGAGCTGTTCAGGAACTGATCAAACTTCCTGACTCTTACTTTACTTAACCAACCCTGCTGGCAGGCGATTTTAACCTGCAACATACCAGATGGTAGCCCTTACTCCAGCGAAGCCCCTCTACCTTAGCTGAACCAATGTCTGAATGGCTAGATCAACAAGGACTAGTGCTAATCTCCGAGATCGACACCCTTACACATAGAAGAGGCAATACCCTGGATCTAGCCTTCGCATCTAGCTCTCTTGCTTTCACAGGGGCACATACTAAGGTTGCGGACCACCTAGATGCCACATCAGACCATTACCCTTTTCTTACCACCCTCCCCTGGGGACAGAGACACCCAGAGGTTTTACAGAGGCTTAAACTCAGTACCCTAGACACTTCCCGTTTCCAAACTCTCTTAACCCTGAACATTAATACCCTTCCAGCAACGGCACATTCAGAGAAGGAACTTGATCACCTTGCAAGTGGGATTATTTCAGCTGTATACAATGCATACGCAGCTTCTGCACGCAAGACTAGACTACAGGGAGGGGGACAGCCCTAGTGGAACCCAGACTGCAAAGAAGCACTCTTGAAGTATCGCGCCGGTTTATACTCAGAAAAGGACTTCCGCCGGACAGTGAGACAGGCAAAGCGAAACTACTAGAAAAATAAAATAAATTCAACAACTACAGCTAAAGAGATATTCGACATATCCAAATGGTATAGAACAACAGGATCCTATCGCAGCCCTCCATTGGCAAACCCTCAGCAACCAGAGAACTCACCAGCAGTCGATATTCAAGCCAAACGGGATATCCTAGCCCGTAATCTCCTGCAGAACTTTGCAGAGGCAGGAGATACACTACTTGACGCACCGGCAGTCCTATCCAGTTCTCTACAATTCCCTGAGATAACAATGGCCCAGACAGAGAAGACTATCTTGCACGCAGGAAATACAACTTTAGGAAAAGACGAATTGCCGACTAGCATACTCAAGATAGCATAGCCTATAATTAGAGACAGAGTTCTTGCTCTCTTTTAGGGCTGCTTATCAGTAGGCTATTACCCGCAATGTTTCCGTCATGCAATCCTGGCAATTATCCAGAAACCAAACAAGGCGGATTGGTCCAGTCCCAGGTCGTACCGGCCAATTGCCCT